CTGCGATTCACCGCCATTTTTTATATCATGACAGAAACCATCTGACTGCCTGACGACTGAAGTGCGTTTGATCTTTATCGCTGTTGTCAGCCTGTTTGTTCTCGGAGCGATGGCCTCACCACTGGAGGTACTAGCATTTATGATAACATAAATCAAGTATCATGCCTGTGTGAAAGCCTGATGTGTTATGGATGATTAACTTAGTCCTTTAGGAAGATCAGTGTCAAAATAAATAGCTTGTATTGTTCACCGTTTACACACGTGCAAGGTGTGTTTTAAAAGGCCCTTATTGACAGTGGGTTGTCTATTAGCACATCAAACACAAAGCATCAGCAGAGACAGGATTTCATCTTGGGAGACAACTCTGACTGCAACCTATTCATTTTTTATAAGATGAATCGATTGGTATACAGAATGTCAGAAAATAAAGAAAAGAGCATGTCGCTGTTGCATAGAGCACAAAGTGACATCTTCAAATATGTCTTTAAGTACAACCAGCAGTCAAAAAAACATTATGTTAATTTAAATGAAACAAAGTAAGGACAAGCAGCCAATCATCATAATTGGAAGTTGAGTTGGAATGAGGGAAAAAGTGAAAATGCCAAATTTCCCAAGATGGCAATGTCTTATCTTCAAATTGCTTGTTTGTCTCAACAGACATTCAATAATTTTAAAGGATAATAACCAAAGGCAGCGGGAACAACCGTCTTATTGAATTTCTGGTTGATCAAATCAAATCAAGTTTTATTTATATAGCACATTTTAAAAACGATTTTTGGTCGAGCCAAAGTGCTGTACATGCAATAAAAAACACTTTACTGCGATAGCAAACAGAAGACAATAAATTACAACAGCAAATATAAAAATCAAACACTGGGAAATGTCAGGAGTCGTGCTCTGCTCTGACTAGAAGGCCAGGGAGAAGAAGTGAGTCTTTAGTGTCGATTTAAAAACCCCTAGGGTCTGGGCCGACCTCACATGGAGGGGCAGAGTGTTCCAGAGCCTAGGGCCAGCTGCTGCGAAGGCTCGGTGACCTCTGGTTTTTAGCCTGGTCTTGGGCACTACCAGCAGCAGCTGGTCAGCCGACCTTAAAGCTCTGGCTGGGGTGTAGCGATGGAGGAGTTCAGCTATATAAGCTGGAGCCAGCCCATTTAGTGCTTTAAAAACAAATAAAAGGAGTTTAAAATCAATTCGGAACCTAATTGGAAGCCAGTGCAATGAGGCCAGAATTGGGGTGATTTTGTGGCCAGTGAGTAGACGCTCAGCTGCGTTCTGCACTAGCTGCAGGCGTCTAATTGACGCCTGGTCCATACCCACGTATAGAGCGTTGCAATAATCCAGCCTTGTGGTTACAAAGGTGTTAATAACCCTTTCTAGGTCTTTAAAAGATAAAAACGACTTGGTCTTGGCCATTTAAAAAAAGCAGGTTTTGACTACGGTGCTGACCTGCTTATCAAATTTAAAAGCGCTATTGAAGGTCACTCCAAGGTTCGTGACAGAGGGGAGGATGTTTTTATTGAGGGAGCCCAGAATATCAACCGGAGAGGCTAGAGGTTGGGGTCCAAAAAAGATGACCTCGGTCTTGTTCTCGTTGAGGTTGAGGAAATGTTGGCTCAGCCAGGATTTGATCTCTGTCAAGCAGTCCATCAATAGCTGTAATGAGTTTACATTTGAATTGAGAGGCAGATATATCTGTACATCATCGGCGTAACAATGGAAGGGGATGTTGTGTTTTGTGAGATTTGAACCTAGGGGCAGTATGTACAGTAGAAAAAGGATGGGGCCCAGGATCGAGCCTTGGGGAACCCCACAGGTAAGAGGGGCTGTAGCAGAGGAGAAGGTACCTAGCTGCACTGAGAAGCTGCGGTCTGTCAGGTAGGACCTGAACCATGCAAGGGCAGAGCCTGTGATGCCTGCGGACTGTTCGAGCCGCGACAACAGGATGCTATGGTCCACAGTGTCGAAGGCAGCTGTTAGGTCTAACAGCACCAGGACAGCTGGGCTACCTGAGTCGGCGGCTAGGAGCAGATCATTAAAAACTCTTAAAAGGGCTGTTTCAGTGCTGTGCATGGGTTTGAAGCCAGACTGAAACTTTTCATGGATGCCATGCATGGTTAAAAAAGACTGCAGCTGGGCGTAGACTACTCGCTCCAGGACTTTAGATTAAAAAGGTAGCTGGGAGATGGGCCTAAAATTTACGAGAATGGAGGGGTCGAGATTTTTCTTTTTAAGCAGTGGCTGCACCACGGCATGTTTGAAGGCAGCTGGGACACATCCTGAGCTAAGAGAGGTGTTTATAAGTAATAAAATACTTGCTCCAACTGATTCTAAAACATCTCTGAGAAGGCGAGAGGGAATGCTGTCTGTTTGTCGGCCGCAGGTGCTTGACTACATCCGAGAGAGATGAGAGGGATACAGGTTCAAAGTGGTCGAGGACAGCAGGGCACATAAAAGGAGCAGGATCTGGGGTAGCACTAGTGTGGGCTAGCCTAAGCGCAGATACTTTTTCGATAAAAAATGTAAGAAACTTATCACAGAGAGTAGTCGATGGCACAATAGAAGAAACATCACAGGGATTAATTATAGAGTTGAGGACAGGTTTATGGCTGTTTTTGGAGATTAACAGAGAAATGTGCTCTGTTTTGGCTGCTTTGACTGCCGTCTGGTAGTCGGAAAGGCAAGTACGAAGGATTTCTAGGGAGACATGGAGTTTATCCTTTTTCCATTTTCTCTCTGCACGCCTGCAAGCGCGTCTGAGAGCACGAGTACAGTCATTGAGCCACGGCTCTGAGAGAACTTTGGTGCGTCTAAGCGTAAAAGGAGCAACATAATCCAATATTAGTGTACATGTCGAGTCAAACGTGGAGATCAGCTCATCCGCACTAAGAGCACAGTTCACCTCTAATTTACAGATCAGGGAAGCATTAAAAACATCATGATAATTATTATCAGAATTGTTGTCACTTACATTTTCACAATAAACTATTAATCAATTATTTGTGAACTATACATTTAACTGTATTGGTCATTCATCCTGAACAATATGGCTTTACTTTAAGTTCCTTTTTCATAAGATTATTTTAAATGAAAAAACCTGGGTTTACAGGATATTTGAAGCGAAAACATTAGCCGAGGTCAGATCAAGATCATGCTAGATGCATTTTCTTTTTTCCCCTTAGTCAAAAATCAGCTGACTGGTAAAGAACATGAAATGGAGCCTGAGCTTTTTAGTGTAAACAGCCTGGTTGCTAAGGACACAGAACAAAGACATGGCTGACTGCCTATAGCGAGATGCTCTGCTCAACATCATCAGGACTTTTCAGGAACAGCAGGAGAAAATCCGCTTGAGTGCAACGAGATCCTCTTGGCAGCGGCATCAAATCTGAATTTTGGGAACGCTCCTTCAGAAGTGAAATGTCTGCCTGAACCATCTGCTGAGGGCTGAACTGATATGGAGGACGACTCAGCTGGATCTCTACCTGAAACTCAAAAAGAGTTTCAAGGGCCGAAGTCGATCTATTCCTTGATATGCATTATATAATAGTTAAACATGTATCTTATTGCTGTTCTGTAGAGCATACGTTCAGCATCAGTACTTAGTCCAATATTTCCATTAATTACAGTAGATGTTTGTGCTTTTATTTTGAAGGCAGCTTGATGATTAGGGCAAGGTGATCTTGGTATTTATTGGAGACAGGTATAGGTGGGATTTGGCACCAGAAAAAAGGAATATGTTTTTTCACAGGGCATGCGGCAGGGAAAGAGTTGTTTGTACCGTTTTGTTTGTTTTTTAAACCCAGGAAAATAAGCGAAGCACAAACGTTATTCTTGCCTAGACAATGGATCGGTCTCTGAGTACGATTCACCATCTGGTTCCACAGTAGCAGTTTTTTTTGTTTGTCATTTGATTTGTTTGTTTTTGGTTTAGCCGTTACAGACATTTCACCGTCATCGATGTGTCAGGCTGAAGTGTAAAAGGCGAAAGGGCTGTACTGCGGCTGAAAATAACACTAATATTAGAAACAACGTGAATGCCACTTGTTTAATTTTTGTCCTTGAAACCAGGGTGATTAAATGTTTACAATATTGTTGTTTCCCACTGGGCTTTATGTAACACAGACTGGTGGAGATGGCCAAAAGCTACACCACGCTGTGCAGGGGAGAGGGATTTCAGTTCAATGTGCGAGGGGTCAGAGGTAGCCAAGCACTCAGTGTTGTTCAGCGCGACTCTGTTGCTCTGTGATTGTGCCCTGAGAGAATAAATATAGAAAACATCATTTCAAGGTCCTACAGGGACCAACAGAGCAGTATTGTTTGTGGGGATACTTGAGACTGGAGCTAAAAAAAAACAATTTTCTATTATGTTATTTACCAGGAACAGAAATAACAGCTTTTTATTATAGTTCCATGGCCGGTTCAAACAAATTCAAAATCGTTCATCTGGCTTGTTTTGATATTGTAATGTGATTTATGTGGCTGGCATTCATCAGATGTCTTGTCAATAACAAACCTTACAGACAGAAAATGGAGTCTGTTCAAATTTGGCAATGAGCAATAACAGCTTTGATTAATTAAAATGTTCACAATGACCTGCAGATAGACGCAGTAAATGAAACTCCTGGGCCCAATTTTCCCAAAATGATCTCCTGTAATTTCAGTAATGGCATTTGTCTGAATAGTAAATTAAAGTTTTAAAAAGCAAAATCGAAATGTCGTAATTTGACTTATTTTGATACCACGGTTAATCTAATTATGACACACAAACCTCACTATATGGTTAGATTCAGGGTGGATTTTAGGTTGTGAAGGGCATTTGGGATGGAATTAGATTTATTATGATGATGGATGGAGTGATACAAGCTGTAAAACACAACTACAGGCTAAAAAAAACAGTAAATGAAAAGAAAACAGGAATGCTAAGATGATGAATCTTTTCAGTGTAGCCGTTGTTCATGCGACTGATGTGTTATAAACCAGAGTTTGTAGAAATAGTAAATAGGTATTTTTCCAATGTTTCAAACATTTATTTTTGTTGAGAAATATGTACATTTGTAGAGCCCAGATATATTGACAGTAAAAAAGGCATTTCATTTAAGGAAAAACACAAAAGTCTGCCAATGTGCATCTAAAGCCAATCAGGGATTATTTTTTGTTCATTCAAACAAGATTTGTATTCTATTAGGGTGATACTGTACTAAAGATAAGATAAGATTGTTTGCCGTTTGAAGGAAAGCACCACCTGCTTGGTTTTGGTAATGTTTGATTTTCAGTAAGGTCTACTTCTTGTAATTCCATGCTCTCTCCAGTCAACAGTAGTACTGGTGTTTGCCTTCAATTGTTTCACCGACTTTGACGTAATAATCACATTGACTGCTGAATGCCTGACAGTTGTATACAAAAAGGGATTGACTCCATGTGAAGTCATTCTGCTTAAACTAATACATATAAAAAAAAGCACAAACCTTTTTTGAAAATTATTTCTGAAACTAATCTATGTTGCCATAGCACTCTGCTTGACAACCATTTTCTGGCGGGAGCTCTTTGTTGCTGAGGAGTCAAGTCCTGTCACCGCACCCGAAGTGTTTGGAAATCCATGAGCTGCCACGTATTTACGGTACGCTTCTCGGATGATGCGGAAGGCTCGTGTGTTAGCGTACGGTATGTCAGTCACCGGGTCTCGGTACAGTGCGGCCTTGTGGGTAACGGGACAAACCTCCTGGACTGGCAGCGGGGGGCTCGACTGGCCGCTGTGTGGGAACGTCGCCTCGAAGGCTTCGTCTTCGCTGAACGTTATATAAGTACGGGAGCACAGCCCCCCCGCAGGCTGCTGGGACGGCGTGCTGGGATTCTGTGCTGCAGTCTGAGGAACGTCCTGATCCAACCTTTGGTAGATGGGTAATTGAAAAACATACTTTAAACTATAAAAAAACTAAAATTCGATATGCTCTTTGTCTGTGTAAAACAATTAAGGTAGATCATATGAAACGTACCCTTCAACATCAACGTTTTCTTCTTTTAGGACCGAATGTGAAACGAGTGGCATCAGGACTGAATGGTAACGGATGGTCGGTCCGTCAAATCTCCGCTTCTTGTGGACTTGTTTCTTCTTGTCCGCCTCCAGACGTTCATAGTTCTCTACACACAGTCGGTAAAATGAACACGGTCATCTTCTTTTTAACTCATACATATTCGTTACTTATTTAGCATCAATAATCACTGGTTAAATTCATCATGATATGGTATTTACTAAGATTTTGTTTATCCATTTGCCAAACAGATGGACTACATTGATTCACATATATTATAAATACAGCTAGGGGCATCTGTTTTGCATTACAAATGTCTATGTATACTGCAATCATCAACAGAAATGCCATTAGTGTCTCACGTTGGAGAGGTTATGCAATTGACACGGCAAATAACTAAAACAGGCCTAATGTCTGTCTGAATTGTTAGGCTTTATTCAAATGTTATAGAGTACAATTAATATTGTTATTTATCCGCCTATGAAATAATATTTGAAATGTTATTTTTGTATGAAAAGAGTCAGACATGTTTGTTTGAGTCATCACAAACACATACTATATATACTGAGGCTTGAACAAAAGTACTGAACACAAGACAGAACATTTTGGGACCAAAAATCTTTATATTTGATTAACTTGAATAACATGTTCTCACCCAAAGATCGGATGTTGAGCTCTTCCGTTATTTTGGCCTCGGCCAGCAGTTCTTCCTGGGTGAGGGGCCGGTCCCGATGAGCCCCCCTCCTCCTCCGAGGGGCATCCTGACGCTCTTGCAGGCGCAGATTTGTCTTTCGGGTATGCTCGCTGGTGGACTGTCGCACAGACTTCCGTGCTAAGGAATGATACACAGCTAAACCAATTATTCATAATGTTCAAGTACTGAAACAGTTCAGTTGTGATGTAATCAGTGTGTGCTAATGAAGTGATGGTTTATGTGTTAAACCGTTTTAGTGAAGTGTTTTTGGATCATTAAGTGTGTGGGCATTTGTGTTTGTTTTTTTGCAATCTTACTTTCACCAAAATCTTGGAACTCTGGTGGGATCTTCCTTTTGAGCTCAACTTTAACTTTCTCAGTCTTCTTCTGTTCCTCCAAGGGTTTTTTTGGTTTGGGCTTCGCCACCTTTATTGGTTCCTTGGATTAAACAAAGACAAAAATCCTGTTAACTCATGATCTATTTCAATCATGTATGAATTTCTTCGTTCATGTTGTAAATCTGTCAGTAAAAATACTTGCACGTCACAAGAACAGGTCATTTTACGCTGCAGTGTCATTTTAATAAAAGGTCTCCCAGATATATATATATATAGACTGATGAAATAATTTCATTTACATATTAATATCAAATGATTGTTCCTACCTTATATGCTTTAGTAACAACCCGGCTTTTCCTTTTAGGTGCATCGTCCTCCTTGTCGCTGTCTGGCTCATCGCCCTCATCGATGTCAAAATCGCTGTCCACCACATCCTCATCCTCTGAATTTTCTCCATGATACTCATCATCTCCTGATTCCTGAAAGAAATGTATTAAACATGTCGAAATAGATTACCTGTTGATGAAACTAGCTTCAGAATTCACCATGGAGTCATCTTTTAAATCAAATTCCCTCAGTTCTTTTTTTAATGTAAATACAATGGATGTGCCACCAGTTTGAAGCTAAAGGTGTAGCATAGTGTAATTCAGTGAGGTTCTGTGACACGCATGTGTGCTAAGCATATTGTAAAGCCATAAAACCATGAGATTTACTCAGTTAAAATCTCTCCCATACAACAAGCCAGTTTATTTTTAATTGAGAAATACACGCCACTCACACAAACAGATCTAAAACAAAATCACATTCAGGAAGCGGCTCTCTCTATGCTTTTGTTTTAACCGCAAGCAAATCTCAAGGTGATACAGACATCAGGCTCATCATGGAATGTATTTACAAAGTGTAGACAAAGTGGGTTATTTTAATGTAATTGTTCATCAGCAGTATGTTTTAAAAGAGTCCTGGGAATCTGCATTTAGTCTGAGATGTTCAAAGCAAGATACAAATAACGGAGCTCTAAGGAGGAAAACAAATATGTTATTGAATACTGAGTAGCCTAAGTGCGCAGATAACACACATCCCGCTGTTATTTAATTATGACGGGAAAATCATGACAAAACATGCACGCACAAATAAAATTAGTTGAAAAACACCAACATTAATCACAAGTAGAAAATACTCAGACCTTTTAAATCACACTAGCCCTCAAATTGAAGCTTGTGCAGGAGCATGGTCACACTGTTTTATCAAATTACCAGCAGAGAGGTCTGAGGCGTCTCAGGATTGTTTTTCCTAGCTACTCTTGTCAACTCCAGCTAAACGTCAGAACAGCCGAAGCAGCTGCTGCCAAATCTCCCAAACAATTTGACCTTTGAACCAGCATCTGTCTGGAAATTACGGAGACAGGTTTTTAAATCGAAGATACCACTCGGAGTCTTTAAATGTAAATAAAGTTACTTGAATGTCGAATAATAGCATATCATCTTTTGATACACATAAATCCTAAAGCCTTGAAAGCTTTTTCTCTCTCTCTTTAAGAGTGTGACGCAGGAAAGGCTGGCACTCTCAAACAGCCTTCACAAATTTGTCAGCTGTTAAGATAAAGTCGGCCAGGAAATATTGGAGTCGTGGTCACAGTTTGGGATGAATCACTGGGCATGGTGGTTTTAATGACAAGAATCATTTGCAGACACATTTTGTGGAAGTGTCCTTTGGTGTGTTTCATATTGGTGGTAAATATATCTCTTTCATCTTTGAGAATTCATGCATCTTCTCTTTCTACGGTGGCTTCAAGTACACTTGAACTAAAAGACATGAGAAACACCTAACGGGGTTTTGTTCCACTGAACAGCACATGCTGAAGTCATGATCTTCTTAAATATAGGCTGTGTAGATGTTAGACTCAGTCTATTAGGACTGTCAAGCTAGAGGTTATACAACAGCCTTGCAATAAATGCTACGTTCATGAAGATAACACATCATTAAAATCCTCAAACTGTTCAAGAGAGTAATTGATTAAGGTTTAAGGTTAAATCAGCAGTACCATAGAATGGGTCTGTTGGAGTGTATTTGTACATTCATCCAAATGTATCAACAAGAGAAGACTAAATATAAGACACCTCAATCAAATTAGCTCTACCTACTGTGTCTACCTATCCTACCCTACCTAACCCAGTCCTTCAACAGAATGGTTTCCAATTGAAATCATTGTAGAAGATGGGTACTAGCAGTGGTGTAAAGTAACTAAGTACATTCACTCAACTACTGTACTTAAGTACTACATTACATGTTAGACGCTTTTATCCAAAGCGACTTACATACTCTGTACTGTGGACAATCCCCACAGGAGCAATTTGGGGTGAAGTGTCTTGCCCAGGGACACAACAACATGCTGACTGCAGTGGGGTTTGAACCTGTGCTCCCCTGATCCGAACACCAACGCACTAATCCACACGCCTACTATTTTTGAAATACTTGTACTTACTTGAGCATTATAATTTATTGCTACTTTGTACTTCTATTCAACTACAATTCAAAGGTAAAAAGTGTACTTTTACTCCACTACATTTATTTGATACCTTTATTTACATTACAGATTTGGATTAATAATGTGAAATATAATCAACACTTAAATAAGACTTTAGTTACACCTGGAGTATATTCACAAGCTACCCTGCAGTATACAAAGTCATTAAAACTAGCTGCACCTTTACCAGCTACACATTCATAATTCTAATCAAAACGTACAATATATATTATTCTGAAATGGTCCAATCTGCATAATGAATACTTTCCCCTTTGGGACATAAAGTATATTATGATGCTAATTCTTACAAACAACAAAACAAATACATTTAGTAACTTTGCAAACTTGTAGACAGTAACAGCCTAATATGATTTAATCTGACAATATGTACATTTAGGGCGATAATGTAAATGAAAGTTTAATAAAGCGGAGTATTTTGACCAGCTATTCAAGGGACCAAGCTAGCCAAGAGGTGATGCTAAGGTGTTAGTTAGCTGGTTTAATCTGTACCAGTCAGTTTTTGTTACTCACATCGGCAAACCCTCCATACGTGGTCTTGTAGAAATCATCCTCTTCTTCAGCATCCAGTAATTTTGACAAGCGGTTTCCCGCAGTCTTCCTCTGCTCCCGGTCCACCGCGAGAGTCATGACTGTGATTTATAAACAATGGCAAAACACGCTTCGGTATCTAGCTAGCTAATGTTGAGATAACTATCGGTCTAGGCTGTTTTTAGGGGACCGCTTTTACCTTTGGCTTACTCAATTATCTGTTCGTACCCATATTTGTTTGAGTTATAAATACGCTTTATTTCACGCTAATAGGCCTAAAAAGTGCTCGTTATTACTGACCTGTAGTAAAACAAGCTAAGAACACAGCTAATGCTAACCACTAGGAATACCTAACCAATACATCCGGTGCAGTTGATGCACTTCCGGGCTACACTACAAAATAAAACTCCTCCCAATTCCATACAATTGGTACCTTCGTTTGTGTACAATTTGATCTTATATTGATTTTATATCTATTTATTTCATTCACAGAACAATTTGGCTCCGGTACATTTAGAATGGTGGACACATCCGATGTTAGATACTGTTGTCATGGAGCCAGCAGAAAGGTAATCTATTGCCATAGCAACAGCATTATATGAACTTCACTGTGGCAGTTGTGAATAGTCTTGGTATTCGGCTTGTTTCAACAAAATAAAAATACACTTTTTTGTGTGCTCACTGCATACACAGTGTATAGCACTCTTCTAGTATTAGCACATCACTCAATTCCAACTCACAATCATACACTTGTGGTAAAGGCTAAATCCCAAGGTGACACCTTATTAGGAAGGATAAACATTCAAACGCAAACAGAGCCATTTGGGGTTTAATAACCTGCCAAAGGATTTTGCTACATGTATAGCAGGGACCAGGCAACCAGGGATCGAACGAACAACCCTCTGATTAAAGCCTAGACAAGGCTACAGCCACCCATTGGTGTTAATAGAAATAATTTATTCTGTTTGAAAGCACAACATCAGTGACACATCAACACAATAAAGTGCAGAGCTAAAGCTGGGAAATGGAAATTCATAAAAGTACAAATACAAATAATGCAAATGTACAAGTGTGCAAGGGAAGTGCAAGGACTGCAGCCAGGGTACATATGCTATTAAGCAAATTAAAATCACTAAGGATGAAAGAGCACAGGGAGAGGAGATGTATCATTTCTTTGTTCTCGTGTTGGGGGCCTATTACGACATCCTAAGGACAGAAGCTTGAACTCCTTCAGGAGTGGATGGTCCTGGCCGTCCCATATAGCATAAGCCCTTTAAGAATCTGCCTCTTATAAATGTATACGAACATTCTGGAAATATCACTCACCATATTCATGCTTTATTTCATATTAAGTTGGTGTGATTTGTTATACCTGGAGAGCCCTCATGTTTTACCTTACTCAACATAAAAATTGTATTTTTTTACATTCATGTTTTGTTTATTAAGAATTGTACAAAGCAAACATGATGCTTTAGGCATCTGATGATTCCTTCGTACATTTTGACCAAAAAACATTGAATAACCACAACAAAAATCAGCACAATAATTACATTTTATGTGTGCTTTATTTTGGAGAATTTAAAGAATACTTTAATATATGTGTGGGATATACATCTATTAATAATGAGTACAGCAGTAAATGTGACAATATTAGAATACCAGCACAGTATATAACCAAATTGAGTTTGAATGGCAGGCAATATAGATGCAAGTATTGTGTACATCTGACGTCCATCATAATTATTTCAATTTAAAAGAGCGCTATTTCACTTGTTCTTTAGAAACCATATCGCTTGTTCTTCGGAAACCAAATGAACAAAACTAACATTTGTAAATTGTTTCCATACATAAACATCAACAAAGCAATATAATCAACATGCAATTAACTGAATAATTAACATCTCTACAGCAAATGCATTATGCAAATTAAATCTTTCTTACTTTGGTTGGTTTACATTCAGGGTTTGTTATAGTGGAGCTTTTGTGTCAGAGACAGACAGGAAATGATGTGGTTAGATGTTCCTAAAACGTTACTTAGACTCTTATTAATATCTAGAATCATGCCAGCACATTTTACTTTGTCTTTTTTCCCTTTTGTAGCTCTAGCTTACATGCTTACGGATTAATTAACACTCAGTGTGTGTTGGACATACATTTGCATGCTTTGAAATTAAAGCAAAATAAAAACCTTTTATTGACTCATATTAGTTTCATGGTGAACCTGCTTGTCTCCATATAGTTGCCTTTCCCTCCGTTACTTGACTCAGCACTTCGTGGCACGTATGCTATTGTGGCTGTGTGCTTTATTTGCCCTTTACTCTTACTCCAGAAGAGCATGAAGATGAAACATACGCTCACAGAGCTGAAGAATGAAAGAAATCCAATGGTTGCAGCTACCAGTAACGTCTTTACATCAAATGAGATATTCTGGTCTCCACTCACACCTGGCGAGGCGGACGGAAAGGCAAACCAGCCTTTAAGACGCAGGTTTTTTTTGGAAGATGCTGGAAAGGCTCGGACATGAAGGCTGACGGGCATGCTGTCATTTCCTGCCGCGTTAGATGCCACACAGAAATAAACACCACTGTCCATAGGTTGGGCATAGCGAACCTCCAGCGAGCCATTAGAGAGAGCCCGTATTCTGCCAATGGGCGATAGAGGTTTTAACTGTGGGCTTATCCATGTGACCGATGGCACAGGGTCACCTTCTGCATTGCATTCAAACACCACTGTGTGTCCTTGATCTACTCTCACTTCTTGAGGTTTGCGGTTCAGAATACGAGGCTGCCGACATGTGAGCAGACCTGGGAGTTCAGCTTCAGTAAAGTCCAGAAAATACCAACCCTGCAACTGCACTGAGGTTCTGCAAGTCGGTGGATTTCCGCCAAACTCCAGATATGGTTGCCTTCGCACCACCCACAGCAGGCGGCAGTCGCATGCTAGTGGGTTGTTGTCTAGTCCCAGATTTCTCAGGGTGTCCACTGAATGGAAGGCTCCCACCTCAAGTGTGGTAAGAAGGTTTCTGGATACATTCAGAAGTCTGAAATTAGCCAAACCTCTGAATGCTCCAATATCGATACGCAGCAATGATCCCCCCACCAAATGGAGTTCTTGGAGCCGGAGCAACTCTCCAAAAAGGTTCCCATAAATGAATGTAATTGGGTTAAAAGAAAGGTCTAGGAATACAAGATATACAAGATGATGCAAAGGGGTGTAGGGGACAGCACTGAGGTTGCAGTTTCTAATAGTCAGGGATGTAAGATTTAGTCCAAAGAGACTGTTTCCTGACAGATTCTCCAGACAGCATTGAGAAATGACAAGTTCCTTGAGATGCTCTAGCTGACGGAAAGCGTAGTTTGGCAGCGTTGTGAGGCCCAATCTGTGAAAATGAAGACTCCTCAGCTCGCCAAGCTGAGTGAGCGCCTCTGTCGGCACGGCAGTGAGGTTGCAGCCATCGAGATGCAACTCTTGCAGACTGGTTAAGCCAGTGAAAGCTCGACGAGAAATAAAAACTAAGTCATTATCTGCTGCTATAATAAACTGAAGGGCAGTTAAGTCACGGAAAGTAAAATCGAGAAAAACAAGGATCTCATTTCTGCTTATGTCCAGTAACTTTAGTTTTGGCAAACCATCAAACGCCCCCACATGGATAATCTTTAGGTAGTTGCGAGCAAGACGCAGAGTTATTAGACTTTGCAAGCCGATAAATGCTTCCACCTCAATTAAAACCATGATATTGTCATTCAAATCTAAGTCTAAAAGTTGTGTCAAAGTCTGGAATTGCTGCTGCACCAGAGACTTGATCTTATTATGTGTCAAGTTTAGTAATTTAGTGTTCTGTGGGAGAATGTTGGGCACTGTAGTGAGTTGTCCATCGGAGCAGTTGACCTCCTGCAGCACGGTGTTGCAGCGGCAGGGCTGTGGACACGACCGGCGGGTTTCAGAGGAGAAGGCCACCCCCGCTGCCAACAGGAAGAGAGCTCCACAGCACAGCCATTGGTGGACGGCAATCCCCTCAAACATCTGGTGGCCTGTGTGTTAGAGAGAGAGGCAGCTGATAAAAGAGTGAGAAAGAAATATACATCATTGAAAATAGGGAGCTTTCTGCAAAACATAAATAGTACTCAAAATAATGATTATTAAAACTTTTAGGCTTCACATGAGGTATTTTCTTGATACTCGGATCCAGAATTATGTGAGAAGTTGCTCTCTCTTTATATGAACCAATAGTAAATCAACCACTATGGTGCAGTAAAAGCAAAAATATATTTCTGTACAGGAAGTCCAGTCCCAATGGTTTTATAACACTGCTCGAAGTTTAACTGCAACTGGGATAAAAGTGTCAGTTACTGTAAAATAGCTCAGTAATTACACTATATCTCCTCAAATAATTAATGCAAAAATGTATGTTGACATGATATATAAACTCATTCCTTTAAAAATGGAAACGAGAATCCTAGGTAGCAATTCAACAGAATCAGTTCATCAAACAAAATGTGTGACTGAAATGTGTTATTTAGATTGCCAAGAGAGTGCTGGAAAAAAAGTGTGATGCCACCTCAGATCTTTTCACATGTTGTATTAAACAACGCAACACTATAGAACATGTGACAAGAGGGGCAGAGAGACAAAGACTGCATTTATAGTAGTAATATTTCTTATATACATACATTATTTGCCAAAAGAGCAGCGTTTCTAAATAAAAAGAAAATAGGAAAAAATAGGTAAGCATGTTCACTAAGGCAAAAGAGGATTTTGTGTAAATATTTTTATTTTAACATTAACATTATATTGCATTTCAAAGAGCTCACTAAACATTTTACACTTAAATCATTGGATTTTTGCCTTTTTGGAAACGTGTTATATTCAATAGAGTGTATTTATGACAAAATAAGTTATTGCTGTGTTTAGGATTATCATTTTTAGGTTTTTACTTTATTTAGACACAGTTATGGGTATAGAGCTGGGGAATACTGTATAGTCAGGCACTCCCCAGAGCAGTGAGTGATGAAGACTGACACCTCCTGAACTCCTCTGAGAGCGTATACATGCTTGAGAGTGAAAACAGTGTACAAAGGTGAAATCACAGTTATTTACTGGGTGCTAACATTTTAGAGAGCTCAAGAACAATGTAAGGTACACGAAGTGATGTAAGAGTGAGAAAATCAAACATTGTAACTCACCGTCTCTTCAGTCTGGAGGGCTTGTCATTGTGATAGCTCCATTTTAACAATTTTGTGATCAAAAGGTAGAACCATTTTGCAAATATTTTTTTTCTATTATTGTCTCTGTAAACATGCACACAAAGAATGATAACTCTCAGAGCAGGGTTAATCTTCTTGGTCTTCTCGTGTCCACCTCAGAAATACATCCAAATGAAACCTGCAGTGTGAGAGAAAGAGACAGACATATCATAACGAGAAAGCCTTATCCTCCCATTCTGAATTATTCAGCTCCGGAGGAAGCGTGTTGCTGCAGTTCTGTTCCCCTGTTGCTTCGCTGTACTCATGGCAACACAAACCTGGCTCATGGACGTGTGTGTGTGCTAGGTGCATGCTGGGGGATTATATACACTAGCTCCTGGGCTGCATCCAACTCACTCTACTGGATGACAGGAGGTAGCACACAGGTCAGCCAAATGAAGAGATTTGGGCACAAACACCAGATGGGAATGAATTCAAGCACTGACACTTAGAAATACAGATATTTTTCAGATTTTTGGTCTATTAAAGCCTTTCGATGAAGACACAACTGTTGATTTGTAGTGCTGGAAGGTGGGGACAGGTCAAACTTAACCCAAAAATACATAATTTCCTTCTTACATTTATGATAGAGCGACACCAACACTGCTCCACTTCTCAGTTGGATATGCCAACACTCCCTTCAATAAGCGTTAGAAAAATAACACAGATTTGCCTGACTTTCTGCTCAGCTGAAGGATTATGAGGTGTGTATTGAAACAAAAGGTGCACGATCACCACAGAAGAAGAGCCGGTGCTGAGTCAGTCACATACCATCTGGTACCTCGGGGAATCTGCGTTCATCAGCGAAATCTCTGTCCAACATTGGAAAGGAAAATCAGTGACGAAAGCAACAGTCTTGGACAAATCAGAGCTCCTAAAGCTCCTATATCACAATGTATTTTTATCATTATTTTGCTTCGTCACTGCTACTCCCTGTGGTGGTGCCTGCTGTGATGTCTATAGGTTATTCCCTCCTGTTTATTAGACAGAGTACAGTACACAGATAAGAGAAAAGGGGATTGCAGAGATGATTTGCAACAAATGTCTTCAGCCAAATCTTACCCAGCGACATTGCAAATGACATGGTCAGCATCTTTATAGAAAAAATATTATACACCAATTGTATTTACTACAGAGTTACATCAGAAGATACCACATCATTAAGCCAGCATATAGCCACCAATACAGCCAGAAGCTAGTTAGCTTAGCATAGTGACTGAAAAGAAGTGGCAGTGGCATGCATCAAAACGTGCTTACCAGCACCGTTCAAGTTCACAAATCAAAACACTATGTCTTTTTTTAAATCTGAGAAAAAAAATCTAAGAAAAAAACAACACATAGTTGTGGTTTTACAGTGGTAAATTGTTTGACCATTTTTAGGCGCGTGCATTAACTTTTAGTCCCAATTAATAACTGCAGTTCTTCCGATATTAAGTGACTTGATGGTTTCTTGTGCAGAGAAAGTTCAAACTGAATGTGTATTGTGTTTTTATTGTTGTTTTTCTGCCAAATAATTTGTTTTTCTCATGTGTAAATGACAAACTCAATGATATGTGTTGTTTAATAATGAACCAGAAAATGGTGATCAATGGGTCTACGAGGCCTATCTCTTTCTATCAATCTATTACAGTTATTTTTTAGATAACAAATTATTATTATTGTTATATATTACTATCATGTAGCTTTTATAACTTCCACCTCTGGCAGTGGAAAGGTATTGTGGGCCTCTGCAGCTGGTTGTAAATTAGATTCACATGACAAGTTAGAGAGCAGATGAACTGAAGGACTGAGCAACAAACAAGCAACAGAGTGCAGGAGGAAGCTATACTTCCTCTTTCTAAAGGGAGAAAGGCTTTCTGGTCCGTTACAAACTTTCTTTGTTCACTTTCTCCCCTGCTGATAATTCTGCAAAAAGGTAAATGCAATCTTCTTGGTAATGCATTGAGACTGTTTTACTGATCATCTGAGTACATATCAAAAGCTAATGATGTAAAAACAAACGTTTAGCTGAGAAGGAAGCTCAAAGATTACAGTGAGACTGATTTCAACTTCTCTAGTGAGGAAATCTTTTTAAAAGTCTGCAATGCTAAAAAACCTCCTGCTGCATTTCCTGAATCAAAGTTGTACAGCACCGGATTTTCTCTGGTTGTTTTAAAGTGTGTCTTCTTTTTAGACTAGACGAGCACAGTGCACATCAACAACTAAGATATGTCAAAGTTTAGATGTTCATCTTTTTATTGTAATAAGATATCAGAAAGGAGCTAGTCAGATTGTTGATACAGAACTCAAAGCGACGTTAAGAGTAAAAAACCTAAAGAAATTCTGTTTAAATTAACAACAAAAAAACTAAAAATGTGTCCATTACATTTTTCGGTTATGGTTATAATAAAAAAAGGGATAATCTGCTCTTATAATATGACTAGTTTTGCTTCTCCCTCTGCAGGATGCATATACTTTGTGCCGTGTTGCTTTTGGCGTTTGTGATCCTCACCCACTCTTCATCTGCCTTAAATAAAGTGTGGGAGGAATGGCAAATTGAACATCGCAAGGTTTATGATAATAAGGTAAGAATGTCAGAACCATACACACACATTTTCACACACTTTATCAGATCATTTAGCCTGTGTCTTGGTTTCAGACTGAGATGGAGTTCAGGAGAGCGGTGTGGGAGAAGAACATGCTGTTAGTGTTGAGACACAACCAGGAGGCCTCAGCAGGAAACCACAGCTTCACCATGGGACTCAATCATCTCTCTGACATGGTAGGAAAACTGCTTCTCAGTCTACTGCTCAGAAAACAGGTTGTGTAAACTTCTTAGCACTGGATCCTTCACAAAACAGAAACGTCTCGACTCTTAGTCTGGAGAAAGTCAGCAGTAAAATGTAATCTAATCTTATCTAATTCAAATTAACAAGCAATTATTGAATGTATAGCTTACTGAAGTAGCCTTGAATCAACCATAAAAGACCTCTTTATATCTTTCAAGTCTGAATATATTCAACAAGATATTTTACTGCCAAACCGAAGAACGCCCTACAGTGCTCAACATTTTTGAACATGTCATCATTATTTAAGAGAGAAATGTATCACAGAGACCAGAGATAGTAAACAGGCGGATATTTCACCCTGAACATGATGTCCCTTCACTGACTCCTCTCGCTGCTAGACATTAAAGCTGGTTCATACTCATTGACATCTGCTGGCACGTGACTGATGTCACTGACCAACACTGGTAATCTGCATTAAACCTGCACCCTGCGTGGCTGAACTAAATCCTAACCTATAGAACAGCACTAATCTCGCTTTATACAAACTGATTAATTTAATCCAGTATGGCTGGGCCAATCTGGACATTCATTCTGGACCATGATTAAAGGACACCTATCATGCTATATTTAAATGATATATTGTAGGGCCATACCTATATAAGGTATATTTATACGTTTCTGTTTTCAAAATACCAAACAGATCATGCATTTTAGCCATGCCTCATTTCACTCTATGTGCTGTTTGCTGTCTACGGGGCTGATTCTGTGAGCTGCAGCCGACCACGCCCCCCTGCAGGAGAGGGGAGCCGTGCTCTGATCAAGTCAAGAGGGGGAGAAAAAAAGATCTCCGTCCTCCGTGTTTTATTATATTATTATAGGCCTATAGAGTCGTTATTCATTTGTTTTAAAGCTCAATAAATAACAAAGAAGACCTTTGACCGGCACTTTTCTAATTTTGTCCGGAAGATTTAAACTTTAACGGACATGTTGACCGGCGAAAGTAACTGAAACTGAAACTCTGCCGCACGGTCCCCTCGTTCCTTGGAAGAGGCGGAGAGGTGGGTGTTTGTCATCTGCTGGTGGACTAACCGGAGAGAATTACAGTGCTTGCCTCGACGGGGAGGGATTGCATTGAATTAAAGCAGCAGGAGCAAACGCTTGCCTCGGGGAGGGAGAAAAAAAGCCACAGCGGAGAATAAACAGAAGGGAAACCATGGCAACCATGCGCGGGAAGTCTTCTTCGCTGCTTTTGTGGCAGACTACAGCGCCACTTACAGGCCTGGCATATGTACTACAGCGTCTCCAGCGCTTTCGAGCGGCAATGGCCGGCCGTGGCCCAACCCCACATTCCCCTGATAGGTGGAGAGTTGGCCCAATAGCCGTAGCGCCACCGTCCTGACGTCAGGACAGTGTTCAAATCTGGATCAGTTTTTATCAGATCCGTTGCAGCCCCTTTTTTAGAGATTTGGGTATGGAGGAAAATAGAGAGGGTTGTGTTTTCTGACACTTGGTGAGTTCCCTGGAACACCGGGGACACGTATTCATGTATAAAAGACGTACAAAAGTGCATTTTGCATGATAGGTCCCCGTAAAGTGCATCTGGGAGGGCTAATAAAGTTACATCAAGGATTGGTGTACATGCGAAACAGTACTTGAATAGGACATTAATCATTTATGCTCAGTGAAGTGTTGATAAAGGTTTGTAGAGTCAAAACCTAGAGACTAAGGGCATTTTTTAGGCTGTGTTGGAAGGTAATAAAGAAATGTTTTACTTTGATGATGAAGACGTGAAGGACGTATGTGGGGAAGGCTAAAATGTTCTTATCGTTTTTACAGAGTTGTTGTGCTGATGCGAGAAAACTACAGTGAAAGTCAAATCTGAAGCCCACACAAAAGGACTACACAGCTAAAAATGGGGGGCGAGTTAAAGGCTTGACCTGGCGTGGCACTTTATTGAGTTCAAATAAAAATGACATAGTATTTGTGGTCTATTTTGTTCTCTTTTTCCTAAAGGCAGAAGTGTAAACTTGAATCAGAGGAACTTGTGGTTAGTTGTATGATTGCCTGCTGGTGTCTGAGGGACACTACATGCACAAATACAAACTTCCTTTGCAGATCTGTGATTCTAAAATAAATATATCAAAAGAGGGCTATAGCCTGGTTGGAGATTTGAGGATGAAAAGTTTGGAGAGAAACTTTTGGGAGAAGAAGAGGAATTTGAGGAACGCTGATATATATTTCATCATGTCCTCAAACTGCTGCTGAAATTGTTAAATGTACTGTATGTGCATGGCATATATCTATCAGCCCTCTTTTCTCTCAAGACAGCTGAGGAAGTCAATGAGAAGCTGAACGGCCTGAGGCTGGAGGAGTCAGCTGATTTCAGAAATGTCACTTTAAAGGAACCGAGAGGCTCAGCGACGCCTCAGAGTGTCGACTGGAGGAAGCACGGCCTGGTCAGTCCGGTCCAAAACCAGGTGAGCAATCATTTTAGATCAGCCATTTTAAATTGAGGGAACAAGAGCTAATAAACAACCAGTGGCAATCATTTATCTTTCTGGAAGGGGATGTGCGGGTCCTGCTGGGCCTTCAGCTCTCTGGGGGCTCTCGAGGGTCAGATGAAGAGGAGAACAGGAGTCCTGGTTCCCCTGAGTCCTCAGAACCTGGTGGACTGCAGCACCAGCGACGGGAACCACGGCTGCAGAGGAGGATACATCTCCAAATCCTTCAGCTACGTCATCCGCAACCGAGGCGTGGACTCAGAGAAGTTTTACCCCTACGAACACCAGGTAAGGAATTAACTGTCAAGGTTGTTATATTAAGAATTATTGCATTAAAGTATTGTTTTACAGTTTTGTAGTTTCTTCTTGTTTTTTTCTATATTTTGCATTTACTCGGTTTACTTGCCAAATCAACCCGCCATCAAGAGAATTTCTGATAAACAGACAAACCATCATGCCAAATATATTTCCTAAATACTTATGTAGTCTGTTGTATGTATGAAACATTAATTATAATTATATTTCAGAGCTGGATTTGTGTTTTGACAGATGTGTTGAATACAGAATGAAACTCTGTTTGTAGCTGAGGTGATATGAGAAATGTAGATTTGTACATTAATATTTACGCTGTATACATGCATTGTAATCACTCTGCATACTTAATACAAATAATACACTGTGTTGTTGTTTGATGTATATTCACCCTTAGAACAAAATCAAGATACACTTCCACACAAGTGGTTTAAGAGAATAAAACATATTTAACAGGTTGATTAAATAGATAGATACATATTATAATTAGTAAATCTCACATGTGTTTGTAGAACGGGAAGTGTCGGTATTCAGTCAGAGGAAAGGCCGGCTACTGCTCTGATTTCCACATCCTCCCTGGGGGGGATGAGGGGGCTCTGCAGGCTGCCGTGGCGTCAGAGGGGCCGGTCGCTGTGGCCCTGAACGCCATGCTGAAATCCTTCCATCTCTACAGAGGAGGTGAGGCTTCATGGACATTTAAACATTGGATGTGCAGTATGGTATCTTTTATACTTTGGTTGATGAAAACAGAACAGGCTTTGCAGTCATTTCCTGCTCCATTAATCTTATGACCATTTTAGGTTCTTTAAGGGGTGAAATCAAATGCTTAAAGTAGTATGTCTCCCTTTTGCTTCTAATCTTCTATATAATATCGTTTTCTCAGAAATTGTTTAAAAGGCCCAACTCTGCAGCTATGTATATTTTGCTCTGTTGATATATATTATCAATCCACCACTGGAAAATGTTCTTTTCATCAAATGTTGGTTCAGTTACAGACATAAAATCAAAATTGATATCACTTTCGTATTTAATTATATTAGATATTTAGAGGGATACAAAGACAGCTTGGTGGTGCACTTACATTAAGTGTTATTTTCTCAGGTGTTAAGTCCTGTATCTTATAGTTGTATTGGTCCAGTGTTGTCTTAAATGAACATTTGTTTTAATTTCTTCTTACTCTATTAACAGTTATGAATAAGATGTTTTATTCATGCTAACAGGCCCATTTTTCTCTGTGTTTAGTGATATTAATGTTTTATCTTTACAATATCCATATAGGTTGTGTGGCTGGACAGGAGAGAGTTTTAGAGCATGTCAATATTTAAAATGTTCTTAACCACTTTTATAAACCTTATGCATGTTTCAGGTTTATATAATGTACCAAACTGCAACCCAAAGTTCATAAATCACGCGGTGCTGGTCGTGGGTTACGGCACAGACGCAGGACAAGACTTCTGGCTCGTGAAGAACAGGTGAGTTTATCTCTTCTGGCTAAAAAGTGTCACAGGATTTGACAATTGTTTTTATCCCACATGTGAAGTGTATGACCTATATTAAATATTACATGTGAATGTTTTTGTGTTTGCAGTTGGGGCACCGCGTGGGGAGAAGAAGGCTTCATTCGAATTGCAAGAAACAAGAACAACCTCTGTGGTATTGCCAGTTTTGCAGTCTACCCCACGCTGTGAAAATGTTATTTATTAGATATCAAGACATTGTTCTTTGTTTTTTTTACCTGTAACACTGACACTGATACCCTGGAAGTAAAACTGGTGGATACAACAAATAAAAAATGCCTGCGTTTCCTTTCTTAAAGTTCATTTTGAAGATAGAGTTCTCTTCATGTTATCAATTTGATGTGTTTATTTAAATGTTTGTATTTAAATGTTGGCTCTGCTTCAGTGAACTTTGTGGATTTAATTAAACTCTGAATAAACTAAATATCGGTGTTCTGCCTGTTATGAAGGGTGGCATGGGAAGAAAATATTATTACTGTTGTCATATTTAGATAAAGTATTATACAGTTATTTTTATTAAGGCCTAATTATGGGTGTTGTTAATAAACTTCTTCTTCTGGATTCTTTATTGGTTTTGGTGGACAATATATTGCAGAGATGTTTAACTTGATTTCTTTGTGACACATTTATCTTCCTCCCCTTGCTGTTCTTCCTTAGACTTTATACTATTTTCCAAACTGTAGGCCTATCATTTGAAGAGCATTTTGTGAAAACACAGGTTTTACAAGTATTTATAGAGAAATGCAGTCTACTTGGAACCTTTCTTGTTTGAAACATTAAACCACATGAAATTAATTGAGCATAATGAACAGAAAAAGTTTGTTTTAATTAATTTATCTAAATGTGCTAATCACTCAACTGAAAGCAGCAGACTAGAAGGAGTCTGCCCAGCACCAAACAGCTAGGGAACATTTTGCAGCTAAAGGGGCAGATACTTCCTTTCAAAGCAGAAATAATAATAATGAGATTGGACTTACATTCTTTAGAAACACGACTCCAGATCAATTAAATACTGCCCCGTAGCTGCTTTACTAACAGCCTAAAAAAGGCAAACATCCATGGAAATGATGTGTCAGTGTTATGTTCTTTTTAGTGCTGCCCCCAAGTGGAGAAACCACGTGTTGCAGGTTTAATGAGCTGCAGGTGTGCAGTGGGCATGGTGGCTTATAAAAGCCCTGAGCTTCTCCCTGCCGTTTCCCCCAGTGATCTCCTCAGGTTGGTAATATTTTAGCATCTCTGATCTCCAATAAGCATGTTTGACGTTTATTTTCAATGCTTACTTTTGTTGTTTCTCTCCAATAAGTGCATGAATAGTGGGCTAAATTTACTTTTATATCCTATAGTCAATGTGAAGATGTATTGGTAATTGCCTTTTTATCTTGGTAAATCACTTTTCTTCCATCTACTTGTTGCCTTCCATAAATGTAACCAGCAAGTATCTTTAAAAAATGCACTTTACTAATGCATGGATTTATGTTTTATTTCAACTGATTCTAAATGTGAATTGCTATCAGCTGGTGGTGCTTCAGTGAAGGTTGCTGCAGCTGTCTAATCAAAGCCAGATCCAGAGATGTTTCGGAGCTTGCTTCTCACCATCGTGTGTGGATATGCATTGGCCGTTCTCAGCTCAGAACTGGATCGACACTGGGTGTTATGGAAGAAGATGCATCAAAAAGTCTATGAACACGAGGTAAAATTAAAGTCTTAAGTTATCTTAAGACTTTAATAATGTTTGGGGTTTAGGCATGAAAGCCAATTGAAGTTGTCATCTCCTTATTGCATTAATTCTAAAATTGTAACCATTTCTCTTTTTTACAAGGGAAATGCCTATCAATCGTATAAGTCTTCACCTCTTGGTAATTTCAGTCAGGAGGTTTTTACTCGTATCGCATGTAGTTACTGTGCTGTGTTTCCAGATTGAGGAGTTTGGGCGCAGGCGGATCTGGGAAGGCAACTTTGAAATGATTAATGTACACAACCTGGAATCCTCCCTGGGCCTGCACACCTATGAGCTGGCCATGAACCACTTGGGGGACCTGGTAAGTAAACTATTATTGGATTAAAACACCATGCCTATGTTCATTATGTATTCTTTGAAACTGTTTCTTACCTAGATAGGGAAAGTGCAATATTTGTGTATGAATGCAGTAGGGAAGGTGCAATATTTGATTTATGTATGAATGCAATATTTGATTTATGTATGTGCAATAGGGAAAGTGCTGTACCTGTATGTTGTTTCTTTGCCATGTGATATGTGATCTCTGTATCTATGACTGATTGACCTGAATGTTTTATGTTTATCTCGATGCCCAAGACAAATTTATCCTAAGGGAGACAATAAAGCTCTCTTATCTTAGACAAACTGACTTGCAATCTTTTTTTTTTTTGCAGACCACTGAGGAGATTTCAGGCACTCTGATGGGCACCGTCGTGCCCTCTGGCCTGACCAGGGGTCCTCCCATCTCTTTTGCGGTCAACGTCTCTCTACCGCCAACACTGGACTGGAGGAAAGAAGGCCTGGTAACTGAGGTCAAACAGCAGGTGAGGGATACCTTTAAATAATCAGTTCATATCAACAGAGAACATTAGGACTTGGTTGGGTTTTGTAGCTTAAGACAAAGACTGCAGTCGACTAAAGGAAAAAAATCATATCCACTTTTCCTTGACCTCGAAGAAAAACCTCTTGCAGGGAAGATGTCAAGGATCATTCACAAGGACTTAAAAGTGGACCTCTGTGCTAATCGAATCAAACTGTACTTGCACTCGGCTGTTTGTGGTTATTAAATCAGCTTTAAATATTTTATATTTGACCTTGGATGGTTATTTATCTTAATTACGGTGTGCTTGCCTCTTTATTAAATTGTATTCTATTTATTGTATTTGCCTTTTTTAAATCCAGTGGCTGTAACAATTACAATTTCAAAACTGTGGGAACAATAAAGGATTTCTGATGCTAGTGTGCCAATTTGGACCTATGTTTAATCAACTTTTCTCTCTTCAAGGGTTCTTGTGGCTCTTGTTGGGCCTTCAGTGCAGTTGGAGCTCTTGAAGGGCAACTTAAGAAGAAAAACGGCGCCCTGATGTCCCTCAGTCCTCAGAATCTGGTGGATTGCTCCCTTATGTCCGGAAATAATGGGTGCCACGGTGGCTTCATGGCAGACGCTTTCCAATACGTCATTAAAAACAAAGGCATAGATTCAGAAGCAGCTTACCCCTACGTTGGCTGGGTGAGATTCCTAAGCAATGAATGTGTTAATATTCAAAGTTTAACCTTACTGTAACTCCCCTGAACATTGCTTTCTTTACAGCGTGGTAGTTGCAAGTATAACCCAAAGTACTGCGTCGCCAAATGCTCAAGCTACGCCTTCATCGCAGAGGGCGATGAGTTTGCATTGAAGGCAGCGCTAGCTAAAATTGGCCCTATCTCTGTAGCAATCGATGCCTCCAGGCCCAAGTTTGGCTTTTACCGTCATGGTGAGAAGATGCTTAATACCTCTTAAATGACAAGTTTAATCTTGGTTGTAAGTTTACTTAAAACATGTTGGGATCTGTGTGAATGTTTTCCTGAAGTCTTTACCTGTTGTGTGACCCTACAGGAGTGTACAGGGACCACAGCTGCACCCACAATGTGAACCATGGCGTGCTGGCTGTGGGCTACGGCACCGAGAATGGACACGACTACTGGCTGGTCAAGAATAGGTGTGTCTGAGATTTTAGCGTTGAATGGAAATGTATAAAACTTTATTTCTGTTTTATAATCTAAATGTTCTTCAATTGTAGCTGGGGTGTAACCTATGGAGAGGAAGGCTACATCAAGATGGCTCGAAACGGACGTAACCAGTGTGGGATCGCTCTCTTCGCTTGTTACCCCCTCATGTGATCAGCAGATGGCCTGATATTTAAATGTATATTTTTCCACAGGAGTTGGGACACTATTTTTAATAAATCTGATTCTTAACTTGTGTTTTCCTGTAGTGGGTTTGTGTTTACTTCCGTGACATCACTACGTAACACTTGCAGTTCTATTGGCTAGCGCTCCAACACGTTGAACATGATGGGCTATATGGCAGGACATCTCCAGGCGGTTAACAGAGCCACCTAGCTAACCAGAGCAGACTGGGCTCTGGTTTCAGACAGAGGGTGAAAAAAGGTGCTGCAGTTTGAGGAAAAATAAAGCACTTTTGGAACATTGAACATGAAGCACAAAATATGAAACTGAAATTGAGCATAATGGGGCCCCTTTAAGGGTCGCCTATTATGCAAAATCCACTTGTTCATGTTTCTTATACATAAATATGTCCCCTCTGTGTAAAGCGATTCTGAAAGTTTCAGGAAAAAAGATTCACTCACTTGTCCTAATCCATTTATATAAAAGCCTGTCTGAAAATGAGCTGATCAGATTTTGGCCACTTTAGGATGTCATAACGATTTTTTTGGCTTGTGTAACATTAGCCAATAACCAACTATGCTAACACCCCCCCCCACCTTATCACCTGAATCTCCTCCTAGAGCACCATTTTGGTTTTTTTTGGGGCGTTGGGAGTGGCACCTTATATTCATCTAAAGTAACAGACAGAATCAGCACTTTTGAAACAGGGCTGAAACAGAGGGGATTATGGGATGCTACAATGCATGATCTGTTTGGCATTTCAAGCCAAACACTTCAGTGACATGTTTTGTATATATCTGAGACCTAATATATTGATAAATATAATAGGGGACCTTTTAAGGACTTGGGTAACTGTATCCTTTCCTTGACTGAGGAAATGGCAAAAAGTGTTGCCATGCCTCTGTCACATACCTGCAGAAATTGTATTGTAAGCATTGCGATTAAACCAGAAACCTTTGTTCTTGAGGACTCATTCCCGTGGATGGAGCACCTGAAGTCTTCTTGGCCAAGACACTGAAACTTTTCCTGGATCGGAGTGGAAAGCAACCACATAACTGCACCTTTACATAAAGTAGTCGGTGTAGAGATAATGCTTAAGTATTACTGAATTAAACTTGAGTTGATATCATGCTGTGTAATGCAAACTCACAATGGGTTTTCTTTCAGGTTTTATTTCCATTATGATTTTCTTCAAAGAACTGGATAAAGGGCCAATCCTGGAATAATGAACAACTCTCACGTAAAATAAATACAGCACCTTTTCAGCATCACTAAAATATTCTCAATATCCAGAAGTAATAAATACTGAATGTACCAAGATTTTCAGTCTTCATTTACAAAACACAAAGACAACACACGATAGATTTTTGTGTCATATTGAACTTTTTTGGAATTGTTTTCATTGATCTTTTGTTCCACAAATTCCAAACTTGCACGTACAAACATCTACAGTTTCTACACACAGTACATTGATTTTTCAGAATTTAACTCACATTAAGAGTAGAACTTTTATCATTTAATAAACAGCTCGGAGTCAAACTAAAGAAAACACAAACATAAATTCCCAAAGTCCAAACTACAGTGAAGGATTCTTGCAGTTCTTTTACAGATGGAGTTGTTTTCTGGCATGGGTCGGTCCTTTTTTTCAGGACTCATTCAGAACTGATCCGTGTGCTCTTAAGGAAACAGAAACCATGCCATAAAAAGACCTCCACCCCTTTATCAGACCGCCATCATTAATGGAAGTCTTCAGGCAGGTGTTTGCAAACACATCCCATATCACTGCCGTCATAGAGAAAACTCAAACCAGTGACCCTTTTGATAGTTTATACATATATATATATATTTATATAGAATGCAAATTCTACACATAGTAACATTAAATAGTGAACTTTTACATTTTGGAAAGGAGCTTCAATTTGACAGAGGGAGCTCTTTTGATGAGTTGATAAATCTTTTGGTGGTCCTCTTGGATTTAACACAGACTTCCTGTTTCCTCAGATTTAGTGAAAGCCTCCACGTTATTGCTCACACTTCCGCTTTTCAAAATAGTTTCAAATGGACAAACATGTGAATGTCGAATTGGACTTATTCTGGCTCCTTTCTCACTAAGCATATTGCCATTTTCTGGCCATATCTTGTACCTCTTTGACAAGATGAATTGCACAGTTACAAGCATTCTCTGCTGAACTTTAGGCCTATTTATATATATATATATTTATTTAAAAAAAGAGTTATCTGGGTCCAAGGTAAACAAGGAGCACAGTCACCACTAACTTACTTTCAGAACACATACTCAAGTTTCACCAATTTTAAACCCCACTTTGATTAAGAACAATCACTGCAAGCAACAAATCTATGTCATCATACAACAATGAAAACACTAGTTCTTGCTTTAGACAAAAACAGCTGGCATACAGGACGTCCAAGAAGTGAGACAATACGATACAAACATGCGTCACGATTGAATACAGAAGGATTAGAGGGCAAAGTTGTTTTTGTTCGTTTAAGATTTGATCCTTTTCCATATTTCTAAACCGAGAACAGACATCTATTAGACTGGCTATCTTTGATGGGGTTGGTTTTCAAAGACTGAATTGTAATCAGCAAAAGAGCACCCGAGTCTATCATGAAGAACAGCACATACAATTCTACACTGCATATATTGTTTTTTCTTCTCTTTAGTGTAAATATATTTTCATGGTCCCCAACTGAGCTGCATTCATCGCAGGGATGAAAACACCGCAACAGAAAAAAGTAGAAAAATATGTGACAGACGATTTAGAGTCAGCTTACACACACACACACACACACACACACACACACACACACACACACACACACGCACACACACACACGCACACACACACACACACACACACACACACACACACACACACACACACACACACACACACACACACACACTCGACCACACATAAATACACACATGAACAGAATGACATATCCTAACAGTCTCTCCAACATGAACAAGACGGGACACGTTTGTCATCATATAGACACAAGACACGCACACACACACACACACAATTCAGAGGACATCTTCAGGTCAAACAACATGCTCTACTGGGCAGCAGCACCTACATACACTCACTGATTGTCAGCACACATGTTGATGTACACCTTTGGAGAAATGATCGACTAAGTAATGATTATGTATATATAATGGTACTCAGTTAGCTTTACTTTGGAGAAATTGTGTCCAATTTAGAACAAAGTCACAATAAGCTATGGTCTTGTGTATTTGTGTACTTCTCGATTAAGCAGAATCATGTAGGAACACAGTGAGGGATTTCACTTTTTGTGGCACATATGTATTCTGGCAGGATCAGAAGCCCTTAAAATGAAATTAGACCATTATGTGCCATGCTGCCTGATCAATAGGACTTCAGATGTGTTTAATTTGTGCTTATGAGAATAATGAAGTCACATCATGACTCCTAGGGGCGTTAACACAAGTTAGGGAAGGATACTGCATTGTTTGTTTAAGGTCATACAGGAAAATATAAAACAACCAAATACAGTTATAACTATATAAATTATATTAAGGTCATTTTTCGTTACTTTTCCAGAGTTTCATTCTGACAATAACTACTGAAAAGAGTTGTGGTTAAACGGTCTGCAAAAATATTTATAGTTTTGTCAATTTCGTGTTTCCATGGAACAAACATTTCCATTCATTTATGACTTGTTTTCATATTAAGGCAAATAAAAGGAATTTTTAAATAAGAGAACTATCCAGCATGTACAATAAATTGGTGAATTGTTGCTTAAACATAACACCAGCTGTAAAAGTGGCCTAAACATTTCACCACACCTGAGCTACTGCGTGACTTGTATTTGATATAAATGGATGTGTGACTGCTGCTCCGTACATTCTGCTGTTGGATCAGTAAGAGATGCTCTCCATGGCTGCACTGAAACACATGAAACACTTTCATAACGACACACATGCACACTCACACTACTAATTTACAAAAATTACACTAAAGTATCTTCTCTCAACATCAAGCACTTGACCAAAATGCGTTTCTGTGTTGCAGACATCACACTGCCACAGCTGCATGGTTCAACAACAGGGAGGGGAAAACACGAGAGGAGCTGGATCAAACCATTCCCATTTACAACTAAGAATCCTGTGAAATGCATCTTCGCCTGTCTGCGTTTCACCTTTCAGTCGAGGACTAGACTGCAGGGACAAGGAGTTTTGAATAAATTAAGTCTCACTGGAATGTTTTTATATCATTTGGTAAAAACTGTTCTGGTTTTAGATGGCAGTGATCAAGGGTCATGGGCCATTTCAGAGAAAATATATTCACCCTGAAATTCATTGTGAGATCTTTCCAAAGAAAACGTCTATCAAAGCACTAGCCTCAATGGAAATGTGGAGTAAATTGTACAGTGATATGAAAAAGCAGCACTGAAAGCCAGTCACTGATGCCAAGGACAGACAGGAAAGTAAAACATTGTATTCATATATGAAAACCTACCACATTCATGGACTAAATATGTTCACGTTCCCCCATGAATGGCTTTTTTTCTACAGTCTCATCTCTGCGTTTAACATCTCTGTCCTCAGCTGAAAGTGTTATCATACAGATTTAGATGTGTTATCATGACATAGGAATGTATTTCTACATCTGTGTGCTCTACTCTTTATCGCTCTATAGACTTTAAATGATGCAATCCATGTTTCAAAGGATTCTGGGCTTACAATGGGGATGGCAGTCTGCTCTGTTGGTGTGTGGCGGCAGCTCTCTGGGATGTTCGGGCCTTTTGTTGTCAAACACACACTCCAGCTGTGCTCTGCTGCCAACTGCTGGTCATTTGTTTTACTGCAACACTTGGCCTCGTGTTTCAGGCAACTTTGTCGCAAGGAAACTACCTGCAGCGAGGGCGCCTGCAGCGAATATGATGGGTACGGCCTTGGTGATGCCGACGAATGACTGGAAGATGCTGATGCCCAGGACCGCCGCCAGCTTACAGAGGGCGTTCAGGAAGCCAAACGCTGTGCACCTGAACAAGAAGAGAGGGAGAAACACAATCACAGTGAGGCTTTAAGAACTGACGTGAGCACCAAATCTTAAATGTACAATATTTTGTTGTATTTCCGCTTGTAATGCTAGTAATAATAGTTGTTGGTTGTATCATGTACATACAAGTCCTCAACCTATAAGACATTAGACACCAGAAATCATGCTGCAGTGGTGTGACAACATTTGTCAGACGAAGTTGTTCAACATCGACTCCACATTGAATAGTTTCTCAACACAAGCTTACCTAACAAAAATGCAACTATTACAAAAATGGGAGTCATCAAAGCATATTTTACCTAACAGTAGTGCTTAAAGTGGACCTATCATGCTATATTTTAATAATATAGTGTAGGACCATAACTATATAAGGCATATTTATACTTTTTCCAAATACCAAACAGATCATGCATTTTAGCCATGCCTCATTTTGCTCAATTTGTACTTTTTTAGCTCTGTTTTTGCAAGGGCAGATTCTGTGAGAACAGCACCACCTACTGGCCTGGCATATGTACTACAGCATCTCCAGCGCTTTCGAACGGCAATGGCCGTGGCTGTCTCCTCCTGATTGGTGGAGTTGGCCCAATAGCCGTAGCGCCACTGTCCTGACGTCAGGACAGTGTTCAAATCTGGATCAGTTTTTATCAGATCCGTTGCAGCCCTTTTTTTAGAGATTTGGGTATGGAGGAAAATAGAGAGGGTTGTGTTTTCTGACACTTGGTGAGTTCCCTGGAACACCGGGGACACATATTCATGTATAAAAGACGTACAAAAGTGCATTTTGCATGATAGGTCCCCTTTAAGTAAAGTAAAAGCACCTTATAGGAAACTGCAGAGTAAATGTACTTAGTTATTTCCCACAACTGGCTCTTTCTGAATCCCCACAAGCTCACATCAGGGAATCAACCTTAAAAAACGTCATCATCATCATCATCATCATCATCATCATCATCATCATCCATCATGTTACCTTTTGTCCGAGGGGTAGAGCTCCACTGTGATCACATCCAGGGCGTTCCACGAGGCGATGCTGATGCCACCAAACAGGCACAAGAGGGCGATCATCCCCGACTCACTATTGCCGAACATCAGGAACAAACAGCTGACACAAGATATGACACTGGATCCCGCTGATGAGAGAGAGACAGACAGAGGAAACAGAATTACATTAACTTAAATAGCCTGTATAGCCTAAAGTGAATTATCTGCATTGATTAGATTGTCTTACCCAGCATCCTTAAACGCCCAATTTTGTCCATTAATAGAGCTGACACGATGTTGCCAGGCAACACCGCCAACGTGCCGAGGAAGTTGACAAAGTAAATCATGTAGGCATTGTTGAAGTCGTCGCTGAAGTCCAGTATGCAGCCCTCTTTGTTGTGGAGGAAGGTGCTGTTGAGTAGTTTACAGTCCACAAACCTGTACTTGAATAAATCTGATGAAAGAGAAAAGGGAGAGAGAGAGAAGTGATGATGCTCTGATATTTATGAAGGAATTAATTGACATACATTTAACTTTACGAGCAATAACGACTGGGATAGGTTTAATTTTGTAATCCAATCAAGTGCAATGAAGTGTGTACATAACTTTTACAGTTTGTGTTCGAATATGTGTTTGAAACTAAAAACATTGATAATTGCTCAACTAAATCCTTTCATGCAGGCTTAGGAGGAAGTCAGGGTTGTATGCAGCCTGACTAAAGGATTGGAGATAATCCTCAGTGCTGGAAAATGTACTTTGGCCTCCCCTTCATGTTTTCCAAGTTAAATTAAGCAATGTTTAAGATCTACCAATGTATCTTCTTCTTAAAGATGCTAGAAGTAACATTAACCACAGATAAGGACAGTGCTCTTCATAGCAAAGATTGTAGGGCAGACATTTACATATTTACTCCTCTATCAATTCAACTTGACTTAGGCTAATAGATGTTTTTTATACTATGATTTTGAAGAACTTCTGACCATATTTTTCCTTTCTGAAACCTTAGTTATGTACAAACTTGCCTGAAAATAACGAATCTCAGCAAAATAAATGGGGACATTTTCAAAGCCACCACACAACCGGTCCCCTGCCAGCAGCTGTTTCTAATTGAAATCCCTTCCAGGCAGCGATTAAACATGATAAACAGCATCCCTCGCTATAAACTGTTTAAAACAAAATAACAGGGGGAACAACAGAAAAGGTCACAAGAGGTTGGGAGGCCTGTTATGTTATTCTGTGGTTATACTTTGATGCACTACAGCTGCACAAAAGCACATTATTATTTGATGACACCGCTGAAACTGCTCTCATACCAATAGCCAACATTTTATTAAAAGCAGTCAGGCATAAGAGTGCTGAAGGATCATAAAGTGTTAAGATGCCCGAATGACATGAACATAAAGGAATGTATTGTTGGCTTCAGGGATGAGAAGATACTGTTGCTGCTGTAAAAGCTGCTGAGGCGGTTTCTGTGGGATTTAAGAAGCAGCTCCTCTGTTTTCTCTGGATGAATCTGACACGTTGACTGAAAGCACAATATTGTTCTTTGCATGGTCGAGTTGGACAGCCTGCATTTTCTACCAATGGCCATTGGCATATTCTTATTTGTAAGGCAATCTTACCTTTATATCAACTTCCTTTGGAAATGTATTGTCTTTGCTCCGAGGAGTAATTGCTACTTAATGTTTCTAAAGCCACGACTGAATTGGGAAAAATTGTATTTATATTTATTTGTGTTTCATTTAGACATAAATCTGCCGAGTCGAGACTCTTTTGGATGACTTGCAGGGAGACACATTGTTGTGTTGTTTTGATTGAGTGTGTTGATGACTTATTTTTCATGATTATAATTCTGTTTTCATTTATGTGTAGTTTTTGTGTCTGCAACATTAAATATAAATGACACTATTTCCTAGTTATTGACACTATTTTCCTGGTTAAATAAAAAGCAAAGATCAGAAAACACAGGCTGATTAATAAAGAGAAAAATCAATTAAAAAGAATAAAGAAATAAGATCTGAAGTTTTATCTCAGAAGATTTGTTGGTTCTAATTATCCATTGAACACGTTCTTGCATCTGTTGTTTCGAATCATGGAGAGCTGTCAGGAGTCTCGTCACTCTGCTGTCAAACAGTCTGTGATTTGTTTACGTTGCTATGGTAACAGTTCTGCTTCAGTAACCTAGGGATACTAGCAACAGAATGTTTCCATGGCTACAGATCTGCTGAACATCTGTGTTTTATCTTGTCTCTATTTTTACTTCAGGCGGCAGTAAAACCCCTGCACACTCCGACGTGTGTTTTTCCTCAGCAGCTGTGTTATAACATAAAAGTGATCATTACTGTTAACCTGCGATGTAATTAAAATGAGTACTGACATAATGAGATGTGTTTTTCTCTGTTTAACAATATTTAAAGAGGCACTTGTTCATATTTTTTTGTTAACGTTATGCACCAAAACACTAAAGTACATTTAACAGAGTGTTTAATGTCTTAAACTCTCACTGCTCATGAATATTATTTAGCTGCAGGAGAAGCTACATCGTCTGTTCATCTTCGTGCACATGACTATTGAACACACTGAAACATGTCTGTTAATATTTACCTGTGTTGTAGAACAAACTTGCAATGAAGGTGCAGTTTCTGAAGAAGGTGTGTGTGGAGGTGATGTCCTCAAAGTAGCACTCCTCAAACACTGAGTCTTCAAACACCATGGACTTCATCTTCAGGTTCAGGAACCTAACGAACACGTCAAAGGTTAAACTTTTCTGTTCTGCAGTTTTATTGTTGTGCTTTATTGTTGATCATTAGAACATAAATCTGAATAAAACGGCAGCTCACAAAACACTCACTTGTCATTGAAAAAGTGTCCTTCGCGATACACTTGGTTTTCCATGGTGAAGTTCAAAGTGGCGTGCTCGATTCGCTCCTTAGTGAAGGTCTTTGTGCGTGAGTCATATTCCTGCCTCTGGATGTACTTGATCATGTCTGGGAACCACACTGTCAGACCGTAGTAGCTGCAAAATGTTAAGTGAACGATGTTAAGTAAAACGATTAAATAAACCTAAGAAGTGAACAAGAATCCCCACTTAGAAAATGTTGTATGAGTCTATACTCTACCTGAAAGACATGGTAAACCAAACAGCCATGAGCATGAAAGTGGTCCGTTTATATTCTGGGCTGAAGCAGGCAAGGATGTTGTTCCTAATCTGCAACACGTAAAGAGGAAAACACACAACTTTAGAAAAAAGAAAGCATGGGAGAACATATTTTAAACCCCTCAGAAGATACATTGTGTATGATCTTAGTTTAATCTGATAATGTGGTGATATTTCGACTGATATTCCTGAGCAGTAATGTTCAATTTACAAAGAATTAACTTTATGAATTGGACCTAAAACTTGAACACAGCCAGGCTTGTTCTCCCCCTTTTGGTGATATCTGTTGTCTTCCACATGAAACTACTTAGTTACAGCTTCAACATTAAGAGATGAGACTTTTTGTAGTGGGCATTAAGCGGGTGGTGCAGTAGTGGATTTTGTAAAAGATGGAGGGTGTAGGCGTGTAGCAGAACGTAGGCTGAATGCAAATTAAAATCTTGCTGGTAAAGTTTCTGCCTGAAGCAGTGGTGCTGCAATAATGTGCAACACAAGAAAAACACAAGTTTAAACAAGAAAAAGTCATTTAGTAACAGATTCAACAAATTATCACTATATTTAAAAGTAGGGAACAAAAGGCAGAAAAGAAAGTCTGAATGTGAATATGTCTGAATATGTAATCATTTGTGAATTTTAAGTCTAAATAGTTCACAAAATCAGACTGTGGTGAAGAAACTAATTAAAAGGGAAAAGATGGCATCTTCAACCTTTAGCTACTCTTGGACTTGCTGCCACCCACGCCTTCCTCCACAATGTTTGTTTCCACCGATGCCTTTTACAGCCAGCCTCGAGCTGTAAAAGGCCACAGCCTCATACAGAAATGATCTCAGGGGTCTTTTTATGTCATGCTTTTAAAAGTTGTTTACAGTTTTGGCTCAGAACTTGTGCAAAACATGGCGTCTCCTTCACTGACCTGATGGGAGAGGCTCACGATCTTCAGCCTGTAGCGCTGCCAGACCGGAGTGTCGGTGCCAATGTCCGACAACTCATCCATCTGTTTCACCGTCTTAATTGTGGTGACCTTAGATAACAGAGACGCAAGTCCTTCAGCCAGATGTCTTAAAATGAATTATGATGGTAACATTTTCTAATTACAAATGGTATTTCTTCCTCCTGCAGCTTTGAGTTTTCCATGAAGAAACGATAACACAGTGAGACGAAAAGGATAATGCAAACGTATTTCCCCATGTGATTAGAATGCATTACCATTCATTTATACTAAACACGTGTTGGACATTTATTGTTGATTTAAAACCTGGTGAAAAGGGAACAAGTGTGAGCACATTTAGTCATAAATAGTCAGGTGAAGGTCAACAAATATCCTTGACAGGAGACAAAGTCTAAAGACGATTTTGCAGATTGAAACATTGCTATAGAGAGGAATAAATCATTTATTATGAGAAGTACTGTGTGCAGACCTCCTTCACGCCCTGTCAATCTGATGACTGAGACGTGGAAAGGTTGCTCTGTTATTTTAATTGGGAGCTATCTTTCTGTCTGTACAAAAGGATCACTAGAATATCTTTGAAAGATGCTACATTTTGGACATTTAAAAACGTGTGGTTGTTGTTTTCTTTAAAGAGTGTAACTGTCTTTAGGCCAACACACTGAACTGTAGAGAAAAAGGAAACTATTTATATGCACCTGAGTATTTGTTTAATGAAATCTATGTTTGATTTGCATTAAAGCACAGCTGATTTATCGTTTGAATACAATGTATGTCAGACAAGACTGTGAAAATGTTTCAAGCTGTCCACTAGAGACTACGTTTTAAAAACTGCAGCAAACAATAAAAACGATGACCTTTAGTACATCATTCCCAATCTCTTCCTTCTCTGACTAACCTTTCTTCTTTTGCTGTCGGATATCTCATAAAGGCATAAAACAAAAAAATGTCAGGGATACTCACAGAAAACACTTTCTCTGGGTGTCCCTTTGCTCGCATGTTAGTGTCGTGAACTTGCTTCAAAATCATCCAGCCTTCGTCGTGTTTGCCGTTCTGTTTAAAAGAAATATAAACGTCATACTGTGTATATCTTTCTGTTATTTGTATGGAAGTAACCACATTAGTTTAAACATTACAAGAAAAAATTATCGTTATTTCACATTTGTAGTATCCATCTCATACTGTCAGACCGTCAATCAGCACATCTGCTCACCTCTAAGTAGAAGCGTGGGCTCTCTGGCATGGCACTGAGGGCAGCGATGGCTGCGACAGCGGGAAACGCGCATACTAACACAAACACACGCCAGCTATGGAACTGATAGGCCGAGCCCATCTGGAAACTCCATCCTGAAAAGACAAAAGATATTTGCTAATAATAGTCAAACCTTACACTTTGCCCTACAATTGTACAGTAAAGGGCATCAGATGAGGTTGAACACCAAGTCTTTATAAGGCACAGGCTGGAATATATTTAATTTGGTGTGACACTGAATGAACTATGTTCTTATTTGTCCTGCCTCCGGGGGAGTCAGAGGTCAGCCGCAGTGCAGCGTTTCTGGAAAGATGCTTGCTAGCAAAAAAGCTTAAACCAGCAGGATTTTACCAACTAAAACTGAGGCTCCAAATTGTGTGTCAACAGTTTCCTTACTGCACAAATATCTACATTTAAGAACTAGATGATATGATGAAAACAACTCTCATGTTTGTCCGCCACATATAAAGCTAAAATCAGCAGCCAGATACATTAGCTTAGCAATCAAATTGGAAACAGCTATTTCCAAAGAAAGTAACGTTAATAATTGCTCAGAGAAAATGAGAAGTCCAAACCAACTAGAGGTATATTGAGTAATTTAGTAAGCTTAAATATATGTGTTGGGTAGATTTTGTTACACTTGAACAGAGCCAGGCTAGCTGTTTCCCCCTTTTTGCAGTCTGTGCTAAGCTAACTCGTTATAACCTCATATGTATGTAATGGACATATATGAGTGGTATCGTTCTTTTCATGTAACTGTGAGAAAGCAAATGGGTATATTCCCTAAAATCGTTAACTTGTGCTTAAAGTGTTTATCAAAGTTAGGATGATCATCTAACTTAAACATTAGCAGAGGTAGCTAACAATACTCCTATATTCAGGTGTATAGTTGCTGTACTCACCGTAATGTGGGATAATAGCCCAGGCCATGGCAGATGCGTATATCCCGCCAATCATCCAGAACATGCAGAGCCAACTGAGGTGCTCTCCACGTTTCTCCTGGGACAGGAACTCAGAGTAGTAGGAAAACACGATGGGAATAGAGCCACCAATCCTACAAAGATCAGAAACAAACTGAGTTGAACAGTCCTGTTGTTTAAGAGTTCAAACACACAGTTTAAGTTGAAGGATTAACAGCATTTGTAATAAGAAAGAAGACGTTACATTATTTGATATGAGATGTCCTGAAACACAACGTATGTACGGCTCACACCTATTCTTTCACTTATTTCCATTTAGTTAACTGTATTATGGTTTATATGTTTTCGTTAGTGCATCATAATGGAGAAGCGCTGATTAAACTACAAATTAAAATGATTCTAGCAACTAAATATGCGAGTTTTAGAAAAGAAAAAGAAAAAACATATTCAAAGAAGCAGTTAGGTGTCTTAAACACTCACATAGGGAAACTCATTTCCCCTATGTGAGTCTTAAAAAAAAGTAAGTTAGAGTGAGGTAGTGTATCAAAAATAATTAGGTAGTGTCACAAATATCCCAAAATAATGAGTGAGTACCTCAAGAAAAGTAGGGAGCATTTTAAAATATGAGGTCAAATTTCTAAATTATTAAAAGCTTTCCAAAAACATTTATGAAGTACCTCAAAATAAGGAGAAACTTTCTTAAAAAAAATAACATAGTATGTCAAAATTGTTTCTCAAATACTAATTCACTATATCAAGGGACTTTTTTCATCACATTGGCAGAAATGGGCTTTCATAACGGAAAGATCACATCAGAATAAGAAAATATGAATACAGTATTTCTTAATTTACCCAACACCCGAAAGGAGTCGGCAGAACAGAAAGGTGCTGTATCCCTGGACGAAGGAGGAGAAGAAGGAGAAGACACTGTTGATAGAGAGACAGATGAGAAGAGACTGGCGGCGGCCTATCCGGTCAGCCATAGCCCCCCAGAGGAAGGCCCCGACCATCATCCCAAAATATACAATCAGTCCTGTGGAGAGAGCAGAGGAAATGAAACTATTAGAGGAACAGATGTAAGTCTACCCTGTCTTCTTATTGCTGTTATATTATTATGGGCTTTTCAGGCTCTCTCAAGAGAGCAGTTCAAATATACGGAGTAATACAAATCTCCTCTCTTTATAATATCAGTCGTTATTCTTGACGGCTATATTTTTATGGTCAATAAATCTCATGAAAACACCAAATCCAACAATAATCTCCAAGACACAGGCCTGTTCTCTACTGAAAGCACGAATGTTAAAGGTTTTTAGCAAACACTACTCAAGCATCAGTAAATAGTGTATTTGTTGGGGACTATTTCCCGGTGCTGTATTAGGTTTTTCCGGTAGCAGGATGGTGTACATTGCCTCAAAGTGCTCATGTTAATGGTAATGATGCACAATTGTAACAGTGTGGCTCGCTGATGTGTTTTTAAACGTTTTTGGAGAGCAATGAAGCGCTCAGAGACCAGAAGAATACAATGTGGATTCACAGCCAATATTCGTTAGTATACTAAGCCAATATTCATTAGTACAGTTGTACTTATAGCAACATTAAAAAAAGAAATGGTGACACAGCCAATCCAGAGCCTGTGCACCATAGGGAGAAGAGTCTTACCTAGCATGCTCTTGTTGGGTTCAGACAGGCACATGTCCTTCTCAGCACTGGGCAGGACGAACCCCACCACAAAGATCTCCACGCCGTCTGCCATGAGTGCCAGTCCAAGCACAAAGTACAGGGTCCATTGGAACTTCCCGTGACCACACTCTTGTAAAATGGTCTCGTACTGTTGAGCCAGCTCCTCCTGGTCCTTCCTCCTCTCGGCCTCGGACACTCCGATGTCTCCTAACTGCTGAGCGCCGGCACTCACCGAGCCCGGTCCTCCAGCCAGGCTGCCTTTGCCAGATTCAGCCCGAGGGATTCCTTGGTACTCGCCCTCATAGATCTCATCATCCTCATCGTGACCCTCTGTGGAGTCACTGTGGCCGCCCTCCTCGTCATTGGCCGCCTGGCTGTCTCCACGGTAATAGCCTCCGTCCTGGCTCCCCTGCTGGGGGTAGTCATCATCATCATCCTCTTCAAACCGGCTGTAGGAGCGCTTGCTGTACTCGTCGGTCACCTTATCCACTGAGCGGCCGACCTTCTTGGATGCTTGCCGCTTGACCTCTTTGGCAATGTCTTTGGCGCCTTTTATGAAGGCAGTCCGGTTTTGGTAACCCTCCTCCATTTTAAAGAGGATCAGAAGATGAAAAAGTGGTCAAGGATTTAGGGGAGAGGCCACCTGAAGCTTCTGTGTGTTCAGGATACACCTCACAGATGTGTTGTCAGTCACTGGACTGACCACAGGCTCTTGTTTTGTCTGGGGAGAAAATGGAAAGTCTTATATTACTTTCATTCGGGCATGTAGTAGTAGTTTCATTAAAGGCACTTTGTTATCAAGGCATGGCATTATAAACTTCACATTTCTGGTGAGCCACTATAAAGTGTAGGGGCTAGTATATGGGCCATGGGATTGGTTAAAGTGTCTATGGAGTGGTTCAGGAATGAGTATCCAAACCCAAATATCAGTTATAATTGTTGCACTATTAGTCCCTTATGTCGAAATAAATGTTTTTTGTTGTGGGTTTTGGTAAGATGCCAGAAATTTGGTTTGTGATCTATACAAGCTAAAGAGATTTTGACGTTTCTTATACAACATGAATATGTCAGTAAAAACCCAACTATTGACTTGTGAAGCATTTTCATGTCTTCAAAAAGGCATTTGCTAACAAGGTTAAATGAGATTTAAGAGATTTTTAAGGACATTAAACATAATTGCTCTGAACACTGGTCAGCCTTGAGCTTAGTGGTGGTTACGTTAAAATTACGTGAAAAAAGGTATATCTGCAATATCCAAAACCCAATGGAAATATCTCTTTGTTTTTTTGTTGAGGGAACAAGGGGCGAAGCTAATTTCCAGGCCCACAAAAATTAGGCATACCTAATAGCTATTGAGATGAAGTAGCATTTCTTCAAACAACACAAAGAAACACAAAATGATTACAAAGTGACTAGAAAAGGAATAGAAGCAAGATGTACAAAGACATGCAAATTGATAAGAGGTACAAAATGACTACAAAGACACAGAAAATGACTGCAAAGAAAAGCTAAACTAACACAAGGAAAATTAAACAAACATGTGTTGTTTGTAGTTGTTTTGTGTCTTTCTGTCTTGGTGTCTTCTACACATGAGGGTGGTTTATGCCTATTACTGTCCAGACATGTCTTTCTCTTTGAACTGATGGTTCTTCTTTATTCATTGAGATAACCAAACCACCTAATCAGCGTTTGATGCCGTGTTTCCAGGCTACACCTGTTGCATTTCCATATCTGCCCAGCATGTGTTTACTGCTGAGTCACTGATGGTAATAACGGGTCGAGACATCAAGCCCTGAATGGTCAGAGTGATTTTTAATGGATTTCGGTTGGTGAGGACATTAATGAATAAGAGCTACAGTACATGACTGTGACTCAAATGCAATGCACCAAATATAATGCTCAAATGATCAATGAAGGCCTGACAGATCAACACATATCAACACCTCTCCTTTATTTGTCCTTAAGACTGCTCAAAAATCCTGCCCTGAAATGTGTGTTTTTCTATTACTTAGGAATAGAAAATGCATTAACCATGTAGAAGAAAAAGCAATAGGTATATTTAGATATTTAGATTAATCAAATAAAGGCATTTTTTAATTCAAAAAGGGAACAACGGAGGATTTAGAGAAGCTGTATGCTGAAACAAATGAGCCTTGAAATTGAAAAAAGGAGCCGGAAATCTGATGTCCATTTAAACTGTCTGCTGCAGTATCACATCTCATTTTGAAGAAAATAAGCCACTGACTCGTGTAGTTCACTGACAATAACCACATCCATATGCTGCTGTATGAGGATGCTGTGAACCACGGGTCGACGTGCGATAAAACAACATGTCATTTTGATATTGCGGTGCAGGGAAACAACAGACCCAGAATGAGGGGCATCACTGCAACGCTCACTTTGACCCCTGTTTCAAAAATGAGATCTGACAGGTAATAATGTGTGGACAGAGCTTGAAATGTCTGCCAGGTATAAAGTATATACAGGGCCGGCAACAGGGTCTCATAAATACTGAAGCCAGAGGTCATCCACAAAAAGAAACCTATAAAGATGTTCTGGTATCTCCTGATGTGCTTGTCTAAACTCTACTTTAAAGCCTTTCTCAACACTCCCACTGTATACAATGATGAAAGAGTAAATCCCATCATATTTTTTATAATTTCAATATTCTTGAAGCTAAAAAACATAAACATACATTTTAATCGACCTTTCAAACACAGTATGAGCAATACAGAATGACATAACTGTTCTTTAGGTTGTTGAAATGATGAACATAAACCGATACCGAATGCATGAAATCAATGTCCTCAGTGACAGCGATATTCCTGGGTTTTGCTAAATAATTGCCTGTTTGTTGATGATTGTGTTTGATCATACTGAGAAAATAATGTATTGCCTGTTTAGCCGTTCAAATGATAGTTCCTGCAAAGGCAGGATAGTATATATATAATATATATAATATATAATAGTAGGTTTGATTAAAAAGATGCATCTGCATCTTGGTCAACGCACAAAAGTTTGATTTGTTTATGTTAAATTAAATTCAAACATCATCCCTAGTAGTCACAGATCCTTCCCCGTCCGCATGATGAGCGTATTTACTGGCACAGACCAAAAGCAGCCCACAGGCCTGGTCAGCCCGGCTAAACTGTCGGACACTAACCTAATAATGACTCACACTTGTGCACTTACAGGCCTGTAATAACTGTCCCATACAAACAGAGCTCTGCAGGGCCTTTCACACAGCATGCATGTCTGTTGGCAATAAGAAAAGCTTAGGTGTTACTATTAACATTAAGATAAGGGTACTACAATATAACCAATATACAGATTCAAACCATTCAGATATCAGTCTTTATTTTCTCTACTTTAATTTGACTGCTAACATGAAATGCTTTGAAGTAAACATAATGGAACAAAAGAAAGATATTAGTTTAAATCTTCTTTCTTTCCCCTCCTTCTCCTTTCTTTTACTCCTTTTCCATTATTATATAGATGGGGTTTAGTCTAGCAAGTATAATTGAAATCAACTGCATGAGTACAGGACAGTTTTTGCCCAATATGGAGTATAGCTATATATTTAATCACCAGAGGACAGAGCACCAGCTAAAACAATCATTCTCTGTATGTGTATTAACAACATCTCTTTACATTCATATAATGTGCACAGACATACAGTAGATAGATAGATAGATAGATAGATAGATAGATAGATAGATAGATAGATAGATAGATATAGATAGATAGATAGATAGATAGATAGATAGATAGATAGATAGATAGATAGATAGATAGATAGATACACTACAAAGTACTGAATCCTTTATGCAACAGGTCACCTACAAATGCACTCTTCTCATAACCCTTGTTATTTCCTCTTCACAAAGACACTAAAGTGCAAAGGCGAACACTATCTAGTCAGATCCGAATAAACGCTTTAAAGCCACTTTTCTCCTCTCGGCCCTGTTGTCAAGTTGACAGCATCTCCACAGCCCCATGCAGCTCTGTCAGTGATGAAGAGCAGGGAGAGGGTGAGGAAGATGGAGCTAAGCCCTTTGATTTTGGTGTCCTTATTTTCTCCCCCATTCAAAAATCGATCAGCATAATTTGACCACTTCCTTAGTGAGGCCAAGCAGAGCAGATAGCCATCCTCACATGCTTGCAAGCTAGAGGGCTTTCTATCCGAAGAAACGTCGTAATGATTAATTTGGACACGAAGATAACATTATAACGACATTTATAACACAAATCGTTCTCCAAATAAAATGATCTCGCATGCCTTTTTATGAAATTATCATATTTGTGCTATTTTAATGTCTGTTTTAATGTGTTTTTCAGAAGCAGATATGACCCAGAAGGGGCAGCAAGAACGTGGATTCAAAAGTGTGATCAAATATGAGCCAATTTGAGACTCCACTCCAGTCATAATCATTGATGTCAAGAAGAAGGGAAAAAAGGCCTTGTCGCCAACAGGCCAATTTATACAGCCCACAAATACGACCGGATTAAATTATAAATAGCAGCCGATTGTCTTGCATCCTGACATCTGTGCTCATTCTTAGAAAGCACGGTGCCGACAGCTCGTCACGATTTGGATTAGATTATAGGGCCGCGACTCGATTCACAAAATCGATCTTTAATTGCTGTGTGAAGCAAACGGTTGCAAATCACGCCCATCGTCTTTTACCGAGGATGTCTTAATGCCAAAAAATAAAACATATAAAACGCTTTAACACGACATTGGCCGCTAACAGCTAATTATCAATCCCGCTCACCTTTATTCCTGCGATGTGGAGCCTCTTCAGCCGGAGATGTGGATGAGGAGGATGAGGAGGAGGAGGGTGAGGATGATGGTGCGCACGAGTCTGTTGCCGTGATGATGCTGTGCGGGTTGGAGGAGAGAGAAGCCCACGCCAGGCATCCACACACACTCAGTGATGTGCAGGGGTCCCCTCCCCCATGCAAACCCTTTACGAGCACATTAACGCCTTCATATCTGGAGGGGTTTGGCGCATATCTGCACACAATCTGCGCACATTTCCTCCACTTCCCTCCAGCCATTGCCCCTTTAAGATGGTGCCATTGTTTTCATCTTATCTTATGTGTCTGTGTGTACCATGTTAGGAAACACTAGATCAGTATTAAACACACTATATACATGTGTACCCAGGCACGCATGCGCGCCCTATCACCTTATTTCCATGCATCTGTTTTACAAATAGATCATTGTCTGTACGCATGAAGATCAAATTGTGTGCACAGACTATACACACGTGCAGGCACACCTGACTCCTGTTGCCATGCCAACCACTTGCCATTTTCTTGATCCTTTCTACTGCACGAAGACCTGCTCGTGAAGAAACGTGAGCTTTCCACAGACAGTCTGATGTCATCCCCATTCAAATAAAATGTCTCCATCGATGTGAGATATTTATTTTTAGTTGTTTGTATTTGTCACATTCCTCAGGCTGTGCAATGTGCAGCAGGACAGAATAATAACCAGTCGTGGAATCTTAAAATGCTTCCGTTAATTTAGATTAGGTTGAAAGTAATTTGACATTTCTAATTTCTGTTTATTACATTGTATTAAGCTGACGCTTTTATCCAGAGCGACTTACAATAAGTGCATTCGACCAAGAAGATACAAACTTGAAGAAAACAGAATCATACAAGTACATTAGGTTTCATAGAGCCAAACCATGTTAAGTACTCAACTGGCTTTAGATAAGCCAGTCCTTTGTTAGTATAAGTGCTTTGTTAGTATATGAGTGCTTAGTTAGTATATAAGTGCTTTGTTAGTGATTTTATTGCTCGAAGTGGAGTCGATTAGTTTTTAGTCTGCGCCGGAAGATGTGTAAGCTTTCAGCTGTCCTGATGTCAATGGGGAGCTCATTCTACCATTTTGGAGCCAGGATAGCAAACCGACGTGTTTTTGCTGATGGGAACATGGGTCCCCCTCGCAGTGAGGGTGCAGCGAGCCGTTTGGCTGATGCAGAGCAGAGTGCACGTGCTGGGGTGTATGGTTTAACCATGTCCTGGATGTAGGAAGGGCCAGAACCATTCACAGCATGGTACGCAAGTACCAGTGTCTTGAAGTGGATTCTAGCAGTTACTGGAAGCCAGTGAAGGGAGCGGAGGAGCGGTGTGATGTGGGAGAATGTAGGAAGGTTGAAGACCAGACGAGCTGCTGCATTCTGGATGAGCTGCAGAGGTCGGATGGCACATGCAGGTAGACCAGCCAGGAGGGAAATGCAGTAGCGCGAGTTGACGAGAGCCTGGACCAGAACCCCGCGTCGCTTTCTGGGTCAGGAGGGGACGTATCCTCCTGATGTTGTGACACATTTCTTATTTTTTCATTATCTGGAATTGATGCAGTCTTGTGTGCGGATTAAAAAATATTACCTAAATATAAAATATGAAAGGAAACTACATTTGACATAATTAGTCATTATATGCAAAGTGGTATTACTTATAATTATGGTTGCCCCGAACCGTTCTTTATAGCCACTATCAGACCAAAACTGACACGTGTCATATATGTTAGTCATATGTGTCAGTTCTTGGAACCAAGACAGAGGGATATTTGTAAATGTAATTGCCTTATACAACAGCGGACATTTTTGACTCAGTATAGGGCAGGAAAAATTCAAATGGAACCCAACATTACTTTGGTTTCAACCCTTAAGAGTCACGAGAGGAAATGCCACCAAGCAGACAGGGACACATGGCATGGCGTGTCAAAATGGCTGCTATGAAGAAGCATTTTATTATGATATTAACCATGCAGACGAAGATGTTCATATTCATGAGTTAAAAAATTACTTTTCAAAATGTGTACTAAAAAAATTTATTCATTGAAGGTCTTCATCTGTACAATGACCACAAAAAAAAAATACATACACGGGGTTAAATGATTCTCACTATTACAAACTTGAGTAGATCTTAAGAGGTATTAAAAAAATCAAAATGAGAGCCCGTTTCTGCAGCCTGTAATGGATTATGGTGGCATTGGTGCTCTCATAGGAACGCGGGGCGGGACACCGGGGGGCCTCGGGGGCATCGGGGGTCCTCTCTGGAAGCCAAAAGGAGGACGAGGAGGAAGGCCAGCGCCGTAGCCTGGTGGAGGCATGGGAGGAGGGCCTCTCATCCCTGGAGGCACCGGGTGACCTGGGAGAAGAAGAGGGAGGGTCATAACATGGTAAAATATTCATCTCTGATTATATGCTACTATAGCAGACTCTATGGACATAATTCATCATTGTCTGTGGTTAAACACTAGCAAACAATGAATGTGCCTTTCTGTTTTATCTTCTCACAGTAACAGTTGGACAGGGTCAGTGTGTTACTATGGTCGTATAGCAATCCATAGTCTAGGTATTACTATTAGCCGGTAAATAAACAATACATTGCGTAGTCAAAGACAGAAGTTGTTAGTCTCTATTTTTCACAACTTTTGCACTCTCACCAAAGCCAACGGTAACCACAGTTAACAATATTTGTTAGCATCATTAAATGCAGAGGTTTTGCACTACGGTGGATAATGAACAGTTTGACCCATGGGGCAAAACAGTTTTCAAAACCATCAGTTTTTATCATTATAACAGCTTTTAGCCCCTTCCAATCTAGGAAACCAGACAGGACTGAACCGGACTGCTTGGCCTATTGCTCCATGTAGATTTTCTCGAGAACTGCTAATGCTAACAATGTCACACTTGACACAGCACTTCCTTTGGTCCCGAGCAATACACCTGCCAGAATATAGCTGCATCCCCTAGCACATGGATAGTATGGAGGACAAGCTGTACTCCGTGTTACTGTAGCAGTGTTGGAAATTAACTTCATGCTCCCTTTTTCTTTTAACCAGCCACAATTTTATCACACTTTTGTGTTACTAACTTCTTTTGGAAAACATTTCTCCCTAAAACAAAACACTTTAAAGGTCCCCTATTATACTGTTTTTCATCAATATATTATAGGTCTCATATATACAAAACATGTCTCTGAAGTGTTTGGCTCGAAATACCAAACAGATCATTGTAGCATCCCATAATCCCCTCTGTTTCAGCCCTGTTTCAAAAGTGCTGATTCTCTGTCTGTTACTTTAGATGAAAATAAGGAGCCACTCCCCACGCCCCTCTGAGATATTTGGTTACAAATAACACAATGGTGCTCTAGTACCCCTTTCACACCAACGCAACTCCGGTTCAAGCTCCGTGCTAGAGCTTTTCAGGTTCAGAACCGGTACTTCGGTTTAGCTCCGGCTCTTTTCACACCGCTCAGAGCCCGACTGGTGCTGCCGCTGCTGCGTCATGACGTCACAGTTTACGTCGCTGATTTTCTCCCCAACGGAGCTCACCTCACAACAACAACGGGCCGGGGACTGCGTTGCTTTTAATCATACGAAGCCAGATTAAATTAAATAACGACTTCTCCAACCTTATACTTTTCTCCAGAGTGCCGTGGTTCATTGTTTATTAATGTGTTTCATTTACCGACCGCTGCAGTGCTGCTGCTCTTCCACGAGTGTATTCTCCCGTTAGCTCCGGGTTAGCTCACACGGCTCTAAAGTATTCACTGTCTGACTGTCACACAAGCAGCTGATACATATCCCCAGTTCCCCTTAAGTGAATGTGTGTCAGTCTGAATTGACGCTGTTTGGCATCACAACGCTGTTATGAAAGTTTCTCTGGTATAACATGGGTGATGTTAGCATAGCAACCGAAGCTAAACTGACTACTTGCTAAGCCGTTTTCTCCAGGCACTTTTTACCGACGTATTTTTCATTATGATTCTACTTGTGATAGTCGGACATGACAACCTGTGCAGCCCATGTATTGATTCCATCCGATAGCTGCTATAATACAAAACAAAACGTCTGCCTGCTCTCCACAATGATCAATAACAGCGAACGGATGGTCAAAGTAAGGTACAAATAAACAGAATCACACGAAGCCTGGTTAGTGTTGCCTGACTTTATAAAGCGTGTTTTTTTATAAGTGTGTGGTTGCCTTCTAGTCACTTTGCTCAGCACTACTGCTTGTTACAACTTTTATTTGCCGTACTCGCCTTAACTGTTAGCTCAGGTTAATCTCGCCCCCCTCCGACGTAAGCGTGACGTATGCGGTTCTTGCTTCTAGACGGACAACTTTTTGGTGCTCGAAACGAACCGGATTCCGGAGCTTAGAGGCTGCTCCGCTGCGGTGTGAACAGGAAAACCCGGTGCTTTTCAAGCACCAGCACCGAACCGGCCCCGAAACACCGTTGGTGTGAATGGGGTATAGGAGGAGATTCAGGTGATAAGGTGGGGGGGGTTACCTTGGTTGGTTATTGGCTAATGGTTACACAACCCAAAAAAATCGTTATGACATCATAAAGTGGCCAAAATCTAATCAGCTCATTTTCAGACAGGTTTTTATATAAATGGATCAGGACAAAAAGTGAGTGAATCTTTTTCCTGAAACTTTCAGAATCTTTTTACACGGAGAGGGGGACACATGTTTATGTATAAAAGACATGAAAAAGTGGATTTTGCATAATAGGTGACCTTTAAGAACTGCTTGTGATTCCACCAGATTTAGCACAGATTATTCCAGTAACGTTGTGAACTGATTCAAGCTCGGAAGAATAGCTTATAAAATAGTATCATACCAGTATACAATCATTTGTACAGCAAACCTCTAACCAATATTATTGGTATTTCTTTCCATCAACACACCTACAGATCAGCGTGAAACTCATGTGTGAAAGGGCCATACACTGTGCCAGAAAGGCAATCCAACTAGTCCACTGCACGCCACAATGTGTGAGAGCGATCTAACAAAATCTGATCTATATGATATACATTTTCAGGCATGACAAAAGGTGTAATGGATTTCATCTCTTGTCCAATCTATGAGCCTCTTTTTATACAAGGCGTAACATTTTACCACGTTTTTCTCATTATAGCCCACTGTTCTTTTCAGTTCAAGACGTGGACTATGGTGAAGGTGTCCTTTAAAAATTGATTGTGCTAAGACGACCACGACAGAGATGTGGTTGATCAATAGCACACCTGCCTATAACAGCTTAATTGTCATGGTAGTCTTGGCAACGTGGGTATCTGTCAATACTACAAATCAATAATAAATGTTTCCGCTTAACCAACCAGTAGAAGTGAGGTTATCCCCATTTCAGTTGCTCTTTATTGGAGCTTTTTACGCGACAGAGATGTTATTTTTTTTAAGCTGAAAACACGTTAATTTGATAACAAATATTTGAGGAGTAGCTCCAGTGCTTACCCATGGGATGTCCATATGGCGTTCTGGGTGGCATGCCCATGGGCGGAGGAGGCATGCCGGGTGGTAGCGGGGCGCGGGACTGGTTTGATCCTGGGGGGGCCGGGGGGGGAGGCACCATGCCAGGAGGACCAGGAGGCATGGACATCTGAGGCATACCTGCGTTGCAGAAACAGTTACGTGTTAATGCTCAATGCTTCCTTTGTTTTTGAAAACACTCGTTAACATGAACAAACTGTTTTAAGGACACAGATCTATTCAATGTTTAAACCAGGCTTTTTACAACCCTTTCAAAGTCAATTTAAAGCATTTTAAGTAGGGCTGGGTAATATAAAAAAATCTATTATTACAATATTTAACCAAAGACCTTGATTTTGTTATAGGGGGACGATGTTGTAGGGCTGGCCATTGATGCTTTTATCAGAAACTCATTACACTGTGAGAATTTAGACAAATATTATTCAGTAATTTGGACAACATAAACAAGAGGGTAAAGTAAAGAAATATCACTTTACTTTATTGCAGCCTTTAAAAACATAAAAAAATCGAAATCTCACGATATTGATATGATATAATGATGTTAATATATATATTATTAATATATAACTCAGCTCTACACAACCTTGAAAACACCTGTATAAAGCTCACTTGTTTTTAGCACCTGTGGTAACTGTCAGTATACATTCCCCTATATACATACTTGCAGCCAATGTGTATACTTAATCTTTGACAAACTAGTACCTGGATGCATGCCGCCAGGGAAGGGTGGGGGTCCGGGTGGAAGCCCCCCGCCCTGTTGGCCACCTGCATTCGGAGGCATGTTCATCGAATGGGGGATTGATGGAGGCATCGATCCAGGAGGAGGAACATTAGGGAAACCAGGAGGTGGCATGCCTGCACAGAAACAAGTTGTATTTACAAGTTATTATATTGTACTAATGCACAGTGTCTTCGCTAAATATTATATGGTCCTCTCTAAGTATTTGTTGAATATTTAAAAATGTCATTAAAGAGGTTAATTTGTTAGCTGTTATGTTCACTCTTAATTCCAGACATCACCCAAGATTAAACATATCGATGTAATTATCACTTACCCACACAAGAGACATCTCTTGCATTTCCTACTGGGTTTACTGTATATCTCTGTTGGTAATGAAACCTGTTATCTGCTCTCAGAGCACTTACATCGTTTTAACTACTCGATAAATAATCATTAATTAGAGGCAGCTGCTGTAAATGGAATATGATTGGGTATTGCTAGTTGAAAGCCTAAAGCACTAACCATCGCCTGATGCCCCATGGCTGTCAAATTATACTAACTGTAACTGTGGCCACCAAATATCAGCATGTAGGCGGCCCCCTGTGTTACATCAGGTCTCTCCTAGGAATTAGATTGCCTCTCAATGAAATTATAGTGTAACAGTGTTTAACAGAATGCGACCTGAGCAACGCCCAATTTCTATTGGAATGTCCTAAATATCCCAACACAGCGGCGGTTTGAGATGATCTTTTGTCGGATAGGTTTTTTACATTTCTGCTGTTCACTTAAAAAAAATCTGCAATGGAAATCATTATCTATAGATGGGACCGTTAGTTTTGAGCCCCCCCCCCCCCCCCCCCCCCCAGGTCTGTGGGGAGCAACAGCTGACAGCAAAAGGCAACATTACAAGGTACCATTGACTTTACATTATGACACTTTAAAGCTATAGACTGTATATGTTTAAACTCTATTCAGAAACTTAAATAAATATAGTTGTTTGATAGAGATGTCTTCAAAGCTAAAAGAGATAATGGAGGGTGAACTATGACCTGATAACAAAACAATTTTTTTGCAGTGTGTGAACTATTAAATTGGGAAAACTTGAGTTTAAATGCAAATAAAAAGTGCTTTTTTGACCCAATGTAGTGTTAACTTTGTTTGACGTTATATGGGTATGATCAATTATGGTGCAGGGCCTGTAGTACAAACACCATCTTCCCTGCATGTCAAACTACAATATGTTCTCTATGAGTATATGACCTGAAATGAACATTTATTAAGTTACTATTAATGGGATCTTTCATGATGATTAGTAGTTGTAAACAATGTCATATTGAAAAGAGGCGAGCCACTGAATATCCTACATGTAACCACAGTATTTTCGTCATACCTGGCATTGGCATCCCACTCCCCATAGCAGTGAGAACCGGCGTTGGGGCACTCGCTGGCGGTGGAGCGTCTGCAAACAGCTGATGAGGCCTGTCTGCCTGGGAGAGAGGGTTTTGTGCAGCCAGGAGTCGCTCTGCGGCAGAGCCATGTCGTTCTCCTTTGGAGTCCTTCTTGAAGGCGTAGGACACAGTGATGGGCCTGTTACAGAGGTACTGGCCGTTCATGGCTTCAATGGCGGCATCTGATGCGTCAAAGCTCGCAAAATTTATGAAAGCATAACCCTTGGAGTTGCCGGTGTCTGGGTCTCGCATGATCTTCGGCGTCTGGAGGATCACGCCGAAGGCACTGAATGTGTCGTAGAGCAGTTTCTCGTCAATCTCAGGGTCCAGATTACCAATGAAGATGTTGGCACCCACATCCAGGTTTTTGTTGTGTGCAGAAGCCTTATTTACTCGAATGGGTTTGCCATAGAGCTTTATCATATTCATGATTTTTATGGCATAGTCAGCATCTTCTTCACTAAGGAACTCCACAAAGCCATAACCTGAGAAGATAAAAAAAGGTTGCTACATGCATTTTTCTGGATACAAAAAGATGCACGATTTTTTCTTGCGTAACAAGAGTTGCACTTAGCGGTTACTCACCTTGATGTTGGCCGGTCACCCTGTCTTTTGGCATGTGCGTGTTGACAACAGGGCCGGCCTGCAGGAAAAGCTCCCATAGTAACGGCTCTGATACTTTCTCATCCAAGCCGCCGACATATACAGTGGCATCTGAAAACATTAATTACAATTTTAAATAAACGTGAGAGGGAAATTAACTGGATGTCCAAAAATGCATTGAACTTTAAATGGATTTCAAAAGGAAACATTCTCAAGATATAACATACTGTTGAATGAAAGCATGTGGCCTTTAAGTCATTTGGAGAATATAATAAAAATAATGTTGTGAGATTACAACTGGAGGACATGAGATCAACTTTAAAAACACATATATATTTATATACAATCATTAAAAAATATAATGATGACGATTCTTCCAAATATGTTTAATAAGAGCAAAAATGTGTTTGCAAACTTGAATATATATATTTATTTATTTAGGATAAACCCCCTGGAAGGCACATCATATCAACAACATAGAAGTTTAAAAAAAAACATTGAACAGTTAAGCAGAAACTGAAGAAATTCAGTTAAAAAGAAGTCCACCTTGATAAGGCTGCAACGTAGCCAATAATACTCTCAAATACGACTTTCATAGACAGTTCTAACTGAAGTGAAGACCAATACGTTTATATCCTAACAGTTTAGTTATATGTTCACCGTAATTATAATATTAATTTCCACAGAACACATTACTATCCTATCAAAGGTTTCAAAAACATATTTCATATAGAAAAATGTGAAGTCATTTGTTTAGCTACTCAACATGGTGAGCTTGCTAGGCTAACTTTAGCTGTTAGCTAACAGGATGTACCTCTGCTTCTAAATTACTCACAACAGCCGCAGCAATACTTCAAATTAATACATAATCAACACCGCACCAACGTTATCATAACGCAAACATTTGAAATGCATTAAGAGTATATTAAACTTCATTGAATGGGTAAAGCAGCAGCAAGCTAAGCTAACAAATGAACACTTCCATGTGATACACTGGCGGATGTTTACCACTAACTATGAGCTAAACCGGCGCTCACACTCATGAGGAAAGCCGTATGAAATGTAATCCACATGCAGATTCAAAGATGACTTAAATAAAAGTCTGAAACAGAGTTAATAAAGAGGTATTTACCTTGGTTTCTTTCTGAAATTGGTCCCGCTGCCATGTTGAATGAGCCAGGCAAGCGTCCTGAACTGAGGCCCCGCCTCTTCCTGTCTGTGTGTTCCGGGAGCGGAAGTGAAACAAAATAAATAAATACTTTTTTTTTTTAAAGCCCTACCTATTTACGCATTCGTTTTTAAATAATCTTTAACAGTTATTTATTTTTACAATAGTGAGCAATGTTGTGAATGTCAATTGACAGGCCTTGTTGTTGTTTTATCATAATGCTATACCCACTCTGATATCAAAGGCAGGGTTCCTACCATTTTTGGCAAATTACTTATGATATCTATTGTAATCTATGAAACACATGCAAGTTCACAAGGACTGCAAATTAGCTTCAACTAGAAGCCCGTCTTTGATTCATCAGTTGCATTACGTCAATGTTTATCTGCATTTTACTAAACATTAAATATGTATTAAAGAGGAACCGGGAATTCCTGCAGACATAACATTGAAACAATCTATATTGCCTGGAACAATAAGCAATATCACTTTATAGCCCTTTTCCTTCCTATCCCGTTTAGAGCAAAGTGTGGAGCACACTATGCTTTTGTATGAAATGGGTACATTTCATTCTAAAATGTTTTTGAAAAGCAATTTTTTGTGTGTAAATTATACACATCACATACCAATAAAACATTACTAATAATTACCTTTTTATACTAGTTGTGATTGAAACAAGTAACAAGACCATTTAATACACTTTTGTATGAGCCATTTTATTACATTATATAAATCTAATAAAAGTATAAACATGGAATACAAAATATTCATAGAAAATACATACAATAAGAGCCTTCAGAAACACTATCATAAAACAATACTGTATGGAATACGAAACATTAAAAACAAACTTAATCAACACAACATGCATAAAAGATAAAAAGCCCACGTTCTTTTATAAAATGGATATCAAAAAAATATATTGTTTAAAAAAGCCTTCATTGATAATGATCACAAAGAAAGATAAAAGGCATTTTTAAGAAGAGAGCTCGAACATGAATGGCTTGTAGTCAAAAATCACACACACGCATCAAAGTAACAAGAAAAATAAAAAATAAACACACAATTTAAGATCTCGAGCCTCATTCCTGTAAAAAGATCATTCAAATAGTTCATCTCTGCAGATGAGGTTCTGGAAGCAGGAGAAAACCAAAGTGAAAGAAAAATGTAAGATTTGCAGGGTTCGAGCTGCAGAGTTGTGAGGTTTAAGTGTTCATTGTTTCAGTTCAAATGTCTATTTTGACTTTTCAGTATTGACTGAAGATTGCTGCAGAGACAAAACTTACTCAGAAATATCTTCCTGGTTGTGCTGCACACATATTTTGCAAGCTGAGTACCAAACAAACAATATATAATGATTATAAATGTATACCAAAGGTAACAAGATTTAATAAATCCTTCATAAACTTATGTCATGTAACATTTTAATATTTCAACATTTTGAGAAATGTGCTTATTCATCTTCAGGTGGCAAGATTCACGTCTCTACTGTAACAATTCAGATAATCAGCCTTTAAGCTAAGCTGAAGCCTTACATTTAAAATGGACTAATAAGAGATTAGTAACTCTATTTCAGAAAGAGAATAAGCACATTTCTCAAAATGCCAAACATCTTCTATAAGTAACAATAATATAGCATGTAATATTTACCTTTACATGAAATAACAAAAACATTTTAAACAGAGTAAAGCCTCCTTTAAAGACCACATTAAAGGAAATGAAATGTTTAGGTTGTTTACATGTGTAACCAATTTAAAAAAGGCACAATGATTCAGGGAAAAGAGTGAAGTAATACAATTAAATCTGGCTTTAATCATACTCCATCTCTGCTTCTTTGTTTTTTATTTGCAGACTCCCCACATGTAGTGTAATCAGTTTCTGCTGTTGATAATCCAGCATTTAGCAGTGAGAATGAGCGCTCCTGCTGTTTAACTTGCATAACTCACTGCCCACACTACATCCAACAAGAGCAACACATTATCCATTAAACTCTCACTTCCATTACATGGGGTCTTTAAAAGGCTACCCACCAACATGACTTTATCCGTATTATGTATTCAATACATTTTAGATACATGGAGAAATATGAAGATATCACATATTCAGCATGAACTAAATTAGGTCCTTCAACATGAAAACATTTGATAAGTGCGACTCATATACACTGTTTAGCCCATTGACATACACTAGCACTGCTAACAAACAAACTGCTTGTTCAATCACAAAAGATCCCTCAATTTGTTTTTTTGGCCTTCACATTTAGACTCCAATCAACACTGTTCTTTGACTCAATGAGATCATGACCTACATTTGAGTCTACTAAACTCTGTTCTCTAAATGAAGCACATGACAAACCCATCCTGCATCACAATAACAATTCAGTCGTCTAAATGTTAAACAGCATTGCTTTGCAGATCCTTAGTTGATAGCACACTGAAAATATACATTCAGCTACTGTCATGGTCACCAAGCACACAATGAACACTAAAATAGTAAGAAGCCCACCAATAAAAAAGAAATACATAGTGACGGTTCATTATCTGATTTCTTTTTCAAAAACCTGAGCAATCAGTCAAATGCTGATATTTAAACAAAGAACCTACACATTCTTATATGAGTGTGCTTCAATGCTGTCTTGAATTCATTTCAATTGCCACATATATACACTTTCTTTTCATTACAACAGGCAGAACACATTCTTGTAACCATTATCGAGGGTTTAGGGATGTACGATATGGTATTTGCAGATATTTGATATACCGATATTCTGTAACCATATTCTGTTTCCACATGTGGCCGATTGCCAATGTGGAAACCGATATGCACGTATTTTTTATCCATCATATTGCAGGAAACATAAAGCCTCTCCTGTAGTGGAATTATTTACATATCATTATGCCTACTGTTGTCCCGATGGCCTTCTGGCATATGCAGACATTTTGAAGAAATGTGAACATTGACTAAGCATAATAAGAAAAACTACTTTAACTAAGGCAACATGTAAAACAAGTCATATTTTTGTTATGTAACATATAAGCATTTTTGTTTCCGAGGAAATGTTTACTCCTGGCTGATTCCTATATTTCATTTTAAAGCCTCTATCTGACGATACCGATAGTTAGTTGGAATCTTTTATCCCCTTGCGGTTTTTGTGTGTTTAAAAAATATGTTGATTATTTATGTACACAGGGTACTTGCCATTTAGATTTAAGGAACCATAAATGTTTTTATCTTCACTTGCTGGTGTCCAAAATACTATCAGAGTAAACATAGCCAAATAAAGGAAATCAAAAAGATTAAGAATGATCCAAACCTTAAAAAAAAAAGGTTTGGTTTGGTGGTATATAAACTTACGTCCCGTACATTCAGTGATGAAAGGCAGGGTGTGTTTCGTCTACTTTGACTCAAATAAAGTATGAAATAATAAAAAACATGTTAACCCCAAGTCAGTTGAAAAAGCCCAGCAAGTTTACAGGTATCTTTTTTAAAGCACTGTTATCCTGTAATCACTAGGCACAAAGAGGCAACGGCTATAACGGCAAGGGTTGGTTTTATGGACGGTTGTGCATACTGTAAATCAAGGCCTGATTACCTGGTCCTCATGGTATTCAAAACACAAGATACAAACCCTTTCAGATGAAGCACCTTTACATGTATGATGTAATCAGTACTATTACCGGGAGAGTGAAGGCATGTTTTTCCACGATGGAGGCAGGTTTAGTGCGAGGGCAGCGTGGCAGTGTTGGCTGCGTTGAGTTGGCCCACAGCAATCATCAGGATGTCCTTCTTCTCTTTGTAAAAACGCAGTTCTCTTCCCGCCAGCCTCGCGTCCTCCAGTTCTCGCTCCGTCGACGCCACCTCCTGTGCGATAGTGCTCGCCACACTCTGCTCCCGGTTCACCCAGTCGGCTGCCATCTGAGTGCGCATGTCATCATCCAGAGCCCGGTTGGAGTAGTGAGCCAGCACTTCCTGCACATAAAATGAGACAGAGGAAGCTAAGTGGACTTCCAAGGTTAAATGTGGTCAGACTTCAGTAAATCTCCGCCTGTGTGTAAAGCAAGCGTTATATTTCAAATGATATAAGGAGATAATGATCTTATTCAGACGGACACGATTGATACTCTTTCTTAATCATTCTAAAATGTTGTGTTTCTGCTATCAGTTGCATTCTTTTTCTACTGTAGCAATGTACTGCACAGTTAGTTTTTACCTCACATACACAAATAAGTATAACCTTGACATTTTCAAAAAAGACAATATTGCCCAACTTGAAATACAGACATAATATAAAAACATCACAATGGCTCAATTTCTTGGCTGAACATCTCTCAATGAAACAAATCACTGTATTTAACCAACATTAAATGGTTTAATCTTATGATGCCTGGTGCTGCTTTCTGAGAACTCTGAATCTGTCTTTTTTTATATACACCTTGTCTTTGTTCTTAAGCATCTTGTCTTGATGTACACATTGGCTTGCCTTATGTTAGCTTATATATGGTGAAAAGAGAGTCAGTCGGAGTAGAGATATCAAACCTGATATCAAGAAAGTCAAAGACAATTTCTTGGATCTACAATTTGAACATACTTCACAATTCAGCTGCATAAACCAAGAAGCTTATGGAGACATTATTTGTTAGCATTTATAGTGCTTGTTTATCTGCAGTGATGTTATTTTCCAGCTCATCGCTGCTCTCAAAAGTGTGTAATGCTCTGCATCAGTTATGCCATGAGGGAAAGATGGGACACAGAGGTTGTTTGTTTAGAAGACTAAATTAAAAGTGATGAACACCACGTCTGCGATTGGATAATTGAACCCATGTCGGATGAAAGACGGTACCTGTCGGGAACACTGTCGTTCTCTCATGGCTTTCAGACTTCCATTCCAGTGCAGCAGCTGGAACACGGTCATCAGCTCCTGAAACACATTTAAAACAGCAGGAATCAGGGATGAAACTCGCCTCAAGAGACTAAATGTGTAACAACTCGGTGTTGCAAAACAAGAATGCTTCCCTCAGTTTCCCTTTTACCAATTAGACATAGGGTGGTGATGTTCTGGCTACAAGCTCTGTGTTAAAAGATAAAGAGGTCACAAATCGGCTCAAACTGCTGTGTTTTAACCCTTTCAATAGATCTAGAAGCAAACAAACTTCATTTAACTGGTCTTTATCTTTGTTATATTAGATGCACATTAAAGCTTAACACATACAACACTCTAAACACGGCATCAAGGCTCAAACCTTTCACACTGCTATTTGCAATTCTATCGTCACACTATCCTCTGGCAGAAAATGCATCTTAACACGACAAACATTCCTGAATTTTCCACACCTGAAACTCCAGCATGGATTTTCCTTTGTTGGACTCGAGCATGAAGCGAAATGCTCCAATTCCTGTGTTAGGGTTGTCAGCCTCTTCTCTGTTTCCCTGTAAACAACAACAACAACAAGTTAATGTCACCCAGCTGTGTTGGCTCAAACAACAGAGGCCTGTACTACGAAGCTGGTTCAACCTAACCTGGATATGTTTGAGTTAGCCGGTTGGCCCAATCCAAAACATACGCGCTCTGGCTAAACTGTACTACGACGCTGGTTATCAAGTGGATCGCTCAAGCCAGCCGTGTCCTATCTAGTTAGGTGCGCGTTCACATGAAAGGGGTGGTATTTGGAGCATTCGACCAATCTCAAACACGGACAAGCGTACTGACAGCGCAGCGTCATACTTCCTGAATGAAAAGTGAACTTTAATATTAGTCAAATATGAAGAAGTTAAACTTTAAACATCCATGACTTAAACACTTTATCCAGGATAAAAGCCACATAGCTGCACCTGCAAGGTGAATACAGCTGGTAAAAGAAAAAGTGTTTGAATGCGTACATTAACAGGTTTATGAAATCACTGCCCCGTCCAAGACACGAGTGGATCTGACTTTAATTAGGAGAATTTGACTCGAGTGTTTCGTCAACTTAATGTGTTGCTTAAAATAATACTTCTGCATACAGTATGTGACACTGTGAGTGTTGCACGGCCAGATACGGCTCAAGAAGCTGACTCAAATAAGGAAATATATGATACATTATGATGTGATATGATATGAATGATAATGGGACACATCGACGTCTGCACTCACAGTGCCGCGGACTGTACTTAATGTTACTCTGATCCGGTTACTTATGTCGTGGCAGATATTTAAGTAAGCTTTCTTAACGCTAATATTATAATAGTCAGATTGCTCTGAAGATGGGAGGGGATATTCTATTAATTTTCACGTTCACACAGTCAGTTGATTTTGGCCGGCCGTCTTTCCTGCAACGGCAGTTTTTCTGTATTTCCTCTGTCCTGTAATATGAATTGATCGCTTTAAACTCCGCACACGGAGCTCTGATTGGTCAGCAGGCAGTGCTTTCACTGAGTTGATCTCTTAGCCTGCCACCTAACCTGCTCCGGAGCAGGTTTGCCGCTCAGTTTTATGTTTTATATATATACAATACTTTATATTACAAATCATTATATTAGCTCATAAGATATGAGTGGTGGAATGTGAAAGTATTCCAGTACAATTTTTACTTTCACTTTAGTTATTAAGCATACTTTAGACTTTCACCCTACACCACTACATCTTAGAGAAAAGTATTGCTTTTTTACTTTACTACGATCTTTAAGATTTTGATAATTTTAACATGTAACAAGTAAACAGGAAAAGATGCAGTAGCATATTATCAATCTAGTACTATACGAAGTATCCACAGATACAACATTAAAAGGATCTTACATAAAAAGATGTGTGGGAAGAACTGATGCATAAGTTACCATGGAAATCTAGCCTGCTAAAAAGAGAACCAGCGTCGTAGGACCGGAAAGCCCGAGATTTCCCTGAAGTTAGCCGGCTAAGCGAAAATCCAGCTTCGTAGTACAGGCCTCTGGTATGGTGACATGAAATCTAACTGTGTGTTGTATGCATACAAAACATGTTTTGTAGGAGTGTATTTTAAAAAATAATGATATCTGACGGAATTTCTTTTAAGAAAGTTGATTGAAAAATGTATGGCAAAGTAATATTCCTTATTTTCCTTTTTACGGCATCATTTATTTGTGGACAAATAGCCATGTTCATGTTTCTAACTGCATGAGATTTTCAAAATTAGATAAGATATACTTTTTGCTCCTAATTTGGGAAATTGTTTTGTACAGCAGGATGTAAAAATAGGCATTGCACATCAATACAAAATAAACAGTAAATATATACATATTAACAATTCATCTAAAGATAATCCATACAGCACACAATATAAAATATACAGAATACGTTGGAATACACTGCAATGGACTAACCTACTACTCAGAAAACTAAATCAATCATAACATCTGCAAAGTAGTCACAGTTTTAAAATAAAATGTAAATGCAGTGAGGTAGTGTGAGTGTAAAAAACAGTACCACATGAATTAATACTAATGCATTATTTAATCTTTATTTTCTATAACTTTCATTCACATATCAGCACAACACAGTGCAGATACACTGTGACTTCCTCCTCACTGCCAGTGAATCACTTGAGCACAGGACTTCCTGTAATCTATTATAAATAACTTACATTGAAGGAGGCTAGCGCCTCACTGACGCTCTTCTCTATGAAGTCGTCTGTGATGCGGCGGGAGGGATGTTCATTGAAAACAGAGTTCATCAGGGCGATCTTGGCAGCGCTGCGTCGTGCCTCGGCTTTGGTGGGACAGAACTGTCAAACGGGGAAGGAATCATGCATTAGCGGTCAGATACGATCACTGTTACAGATTTACAGTCCAAAACATAAAGCCAGCCAGTGTTTATGTGGAGTTCACACTGTGAACAGACACTTTTTATCTGTCCTGAGAATCCATATTTAGTGTGCTGTGGTTGCAAGCATGTGGGTTTTTTTTAAAGATATTTTTTGAGCCAGAGAGTGCTTTTAATTTAGATGCAGTGTTCAAAGGGAGAGACAGATGGGAGGACATTGCCTAATACTACCAGCTCCAACTGAGCTCTCCAGTGGTTCATGTTGGAAATGTTTCAGCTTGTAACTAACATAGCACATTAGTGACCACTTTTGTTACAAATAATCATACTGTAAAACACCAATAAGCACTTTCTTAAAATCAAAAGAAGATGTGATGATGTTCTCACAAGCATGCTAAGAAATGAAACACAAGATACCTGGAAACTCCCGAAGCAGCTGCCTCCGGGAAGGCTGACGTAGCAGACATAAGGAGGGTTGCTGGATGGGACCATTTCATAAACAACTAGAGCTCCGTTTCTCAGGTCGGCGCCTCTGGTCAGCTTCATCTGCCAGAACTCTTGCAGAGCTTCCACCACGTTTACTGCAGGGCACAGAGATGAAAGCAACCTCATCACAAGCAGGAAACATGAGAATAAGTAGTTCCAATGTATCAAAATATGACGGAGGGAAAACACATTTGAGCTGGACGGATTGTAAACAGGATGGAGATCACACACACACACATGTGGGGGGGATTGTCGAAAATTGAAGTCATACTGAGAAGGGATTCATGCGGACAAACTTCACATTTTTACTAGCAATTGGATATGGTGCTGTACTGATTTCATTGTGAAATTCGCAAAAGCTTCTGTTTCTTTACAGGTTTTTTTATTGATTTATATTATGTATGTTACTCTCTATGTGGATGCAAATTATGCCATGTATAAACTGTTGTTGCTTGTTTGCTGAACTTCAAATATATATATTAATTAATTAATTTCCTGACAGTGCAGCTGTGTATAATTAAAATGTACTTTCAGGAAGTATAAAAATCCTTGTCACAGTGTGGTAGATCAACATTTTCTAACTGTACTCTGTGACATCTTCTCTAAACAAAAAGATGGGAAGGGAGGGGGGGGAGGTCATCTTAAGGATGCCAGAGGTTTTTCCTGGAAATATTTAGGTGGTGGCTGATGAGAGGAAACTCTGTATCACCTCAGAGGAGCTGGTTAAAGAAAAAACACTCCCTACAACTCTACACTTGATGTGCTCATGTGACAAAGCTACATCCCTGCCCTCCAAAAGGAAAACAACAACAAAGAAAAGCAGTAAAGGATTTGCGGCTGAATCGGAAATGATTACTTCTGTTTGGATCTGCAGGGAAATGTGAGTGCAGCCAACATCATCAGTTTTCTCTGAGCTCTTTACTGCTGAGCTCTTGTTTCAATCGCTCTCAAATCTGGAGACTGATCAGTGTGTTTAAGAGCTAAATTCTGACATTTGATATATCAATCCCTAAACTGCAATCCAAAAAAGGCTCTTACTGTGTGAAAAGGGAAAATACTGTGCTCTCTAAAAAATGTTCCCTTGCTGGTTGCCAATAAAAAGTAATAACATGTAAACAACAATTTGCTATTGAGAACAGCCAATTCAATATTATAAACAAAGCAAGTAGCTCTCCGTTATATTACTTTTACAACAAAGACATTTCTCATATGTATCCGTCCAATAGTTAACTTAAGCTAGTGCTAGATGTATGATGAGTCCCCCATAATATACATGAAGTACTGAGTCCACCAGAAATAGACTCAAGAAAACAAATCATTCAGACCCTGACCGAGTTATTTTTGAGCCTCTCAGGGATCGGTGCAGTGATAAGATAGAACGACAGGAAATATTTTGAGATAGAGGAGGATGGCATGTGACAATGGTGCTGGCCCAGACTCAAACAAACTAGGAGGCAGTGGCCTGATTTCAATCAGCACATGACTGACAAATATATCACGTGGAAAAGACAAAATAGACATAAATAGACATAAAAAATGATATCAGCCAGGGTAAATACTTGAGGGTCATTCTGCCAGGGACCATTTGAAAATGGTCCCTGGCAGAATGACCCCCTGTCTTAATACTCTTAAGACAAATAAAGGCCTTTTCATTCCCCGATAATGGCTGAATAATAACTATGCCACAAAGAAAATATAGAAACCCCAAATTACTGTATAATGTAGGGGAAATTATTATCTCCAAATGCTAAAATATAACAAATAATTTTCTGTAACAAGAACTCCTTTGTCGCAAGATTAAATACAAAAATTGGAGCAACATTAAGACAAAAATACCAACAGTCTTTATGGTCCTGCCAAATTTGAAGGTGTTAAGCTGCCTAAATGGGATAGAGGAGGAAAGAGGCTGTTAGTCAGGAGCACAGAGGGACAATCTTTTGGAAATAAATCCTATTAGCAGCGGGGAGGAACATTTGTGTCAGCTCCACCGCCAACAGGACAGCAGCTTTTGGTGTAATGTCTTATGCATAGGGCTTTCCAGCATGCAATAGAGATGAATAACATGTTTTATAAAGGTAGGTAAACTATGATAAACAGATATAAGCACAAATAAACTATACCTTGTGATTTTTGATTTTTTTAAGTTAACAGTTCATTGCATACCACTGTTAAAGCTCGATGAGAGAGTCTGGATAATCCACAAACATATTTTTGATAATTAATATACGGATGTCTATTTTGATCAGTAAAGATGTGAATAACCTAAATGTACCCACTAGATATACTGATAATAAGTGAAGTCCCTGCCTTTCCTTTGTTGTTAGTACGTTTTACTGTCTACATTACAGGACAGTAGTGTACCGTGTCCAATTTAAAAATAAGTTACATTTAATTAGGCTAATGTATAGGTATTAAAGCTTATTGTGTGTAAATGTAACCCCCTGCAGCTATGTCTTAATCCTTTAATGGAGGGATAAAAGCCAATGTTATAGCTATCTAAATATTAGAGGAAAACTTTAATTAAAAAAAAAAAACATTTTGGTGACATTGCATCCCAAAAGAACACGGTCAATCCTATAAGTAAAAACAATATAATGTCAGTATAGTTTTCAGTGTGCAACCAAACATAATAAAGGAATGTAGCTTCATTTGTGTCTGTTGCTAATCCACATCCAAACAAATGGTGCAGCTCAAAGTGGCTTTCTGCTCCTCAAAACTCCCCAAGTATAAACTAAACTATATGCCAGCAGTGGTGTAAAATAACTAAGTACATTTACTCAAGTACGGTACTTAAATACAATTTTTAGATACTTGTACTTTACTTATTTCAATGTTTTGCTACTATGTAATGTACTTCTACCCCACTACATATGTAAATAGTGTACCTTTACTCCTATACATTTATTTAATACCATTAGTTACTATGCAGATTTGGATTAATGATATGAAATATAATCAACACTTAAATCATACTTTAGTTACACCTTGAGTAATCCACAAGCTATCCTGCAGTATACTAAGTAATTACAACTATCTGCACCTTTACCAGCTTTGATAACACTTTAATGCATCAATAATTATAATTAAAACATAAAAATGTATTATTCTGAAATGGGCCAATGTGCATAATGAGTACTGTTGGTGCAGGATGCAGGACTTTTACTTGTAACAGAGTATTCCTACACTCTGGTAGTTATACTTATACTAAAGTAGCCTACAAGATATGATTACTTTTCCCACCTCTGTCTATATGCCACATGTTAACACCATTTGTCTCCACATTAACAGAGCATTATCCCCGTTACCTCTGCCGTAGCCCTGAGTGTGTTTAGCGAAGCTCCGGACCACAGCCTCCACCGCCTCCTTCAGCACCGCCGGGTTCCCCGGGTTACAGTGCCCTGCCCCCGGCCACGGCCCCGCTCCCAGCCCGCCGTACAGGCTGTGGAGCTGCAGCGGAGGAGGCGGCGGAGGAGGCCCGGACGAGGCGGACAGAGAGGCCGGGGAGGGCAGCAGCGGCGCGATGGGGACCGTCACCCCGGGCCGGAGAGAGGAGCGGAGCGTCCCGGTCGGTCCTGAGCCGAATCCGATGCCTGGCTGCAGCCGCTGAGGGCGGATACTGTCCGGGAGGACGTGAGATTCCATTGTCCCGACGTAACGTCTGCGAAGTCCCGGTGTGGGTTAAATGTGTACCCGACGGTTTTAGGAATAAACACGGTCTGTAGAGGCTAGAGGAACAAAGTGTTAGCGGGGTTTTGTCAATCACAGCCTAGAGAAGTAGTTAGCCGATGTTGATTCGACACATTTCACCGCTGCTGTGCATCTTCACTGTGTGGATTAGACTGCGGGGATGTCAGTCAACCGGTGCCTTCAAGGACCCCTCGTTCTCTAAATACTTAGAGCTGGGGAATCCATCACTGTACACAGTGTTAATGCATTAATTATATTATTAAGATAAATACACTTAATTTCTCTAACATTATGTACACCTTACTTAACACTTTGTAATGGATGTTGGGTGTTTGCTAAATATGGTATGGTTATAGGCATATTTGGTGTTTGCATGCAAATATTTTTTTGTTTTTTTTGTTTGTGTGTTTGTGTGTATTTTTCTAATCCAAATGTACTGTTTTAGGATAGAGTTTGCCATTTGAAAAGTATTGTAAAACCCATAGTGCCAATGTTGCGATTGTGTGTCATAGGCTTTCTGTCCAAGTAAAATAAATTAATGTTATCTAAAAGAAACACTTTCTCTTAACTTTGACCTTGCTACTGATTTCCTATGTTATCAGTTACAGCTTCAGGGATCAATACAATACAATTTGTAAAGTTAAACATTTTGAGCTTTGTCAGAAAACAATTTAGGTCAGAAAAGTTGTATTCTACTGTATGATAATTGTTTTGCTGGATTGAATGAAATGAAACAGTGTTTGCAATGTTTTATGCACCAGGATTTAAAACAAAGATTTGATAATAGGAACTGACAATGTAATAGATAACCCAGTTCCCCTATGAATGGTCTAATGGCACAAACGGGAAACAGATGGAAATGCTTTAAAATGAAAATAAATCTAATTGAAACATTTGGTGACTTGAGCATGAATAACATCCTAATTTCCTCTATGCAATGTTCAGTTATGTGCATTATGTTTTCATAATTACGACATTTACTAAAGCACCTGAATGCAGCAGTAGAAAGTCAAAGAGGTATCCAGCCAAGAAATCTGAGCCTCCCCTGTTCTCTGGGACGAACAGAGCAAAACTACAGTGTGGGCTCTGCAGCCTGAAGCATGTGATTAAACCCTAAAGTGAAGTAACTCAGTTTACTCGATAAGAGGCTGAAAACAATAACGATGCTTCTCTGGAACAGACAATGAAAGTCTGAAGTACCTGGGTTAAACTTTAAGTTAGTGGACCACCAAGGACTTGGGGAGGAAATGAGTCCTCCTCTAGAGCTTACTAAAGGTTTTTTATGACTTTTCTGGAGCCTGTGCACATTCTCATTCTTTCTGTGGTCTGGTTTCAGGCCAGAGGAGTGTGGAGAAGGATGATGGGGAGAATTTGAATATATCATTTTTCTCAGATCTGAATTTGCCAAAACACATTTTTAACAAATCTAGTAGACTGAGCGACTGGGTATCTCAGATCAATCTAACATCTGAGACGTGGCCTGGTAGCATTGATTACTTTAAAGTGCACATACAACACAAAGGAAAACAAACCATCCTTTATCACAACTGTAATGAGTGTTTGGCTCACTGGAGGGCGTGCTCTCATTTCATTACATCAGTAACCTCAGCTATGCAGCTCTGGGACAATTCAACACTGATGTTGTTCTGCAGTCCTTTTCTAAAGCTGCTCGGCAGGGCCATTTACCTTTTTTGACCACTTCTTGTGATCAGTTCTTTCTCTGACTGTTGATGGAATCACTATCCTTATAACAAACCACTGACCTAAACATTGTGTGTTTATTGAAGTAAGCTTGCATGTCAAAAATCCAGTGGTGGAAAATAAAAGTAATTTGAGGTTTTGTATATTTTGCTACTTTACATACACTACATTAAATAATGAAATATTATCCCCTCTTAACCTCTCATATTGTTTCAGTTAAATTACAGTTTAAAACCATAAGAAGTGCAATGCTCCAATGATTGATGAACAAAAGCAACGATTATAGCAATTTCCAAACAATGATTATAAATAATATTTTTCAGAACTTTGTTTTTTGTCTTCTCTACAGTTTCATTAATCATCTCATGTTTAGACCCATCACATTTATCCTGTGACCCTTTGAAGTAGGCCCTGACCCCTACGTTGGGAAACAGTGAACTACAGCTAATAAAGTACTTTAAACTCGCTCCACCTCAACCAGCTACAACAGTAAAGTCCTGATTACTCATTGATGCATCGGTAACAATCTAATCATACTGTATCAGTCACATTCCTATCTTCCTACAGAGACAGTAACTCTGAGGTCATTTCCCTGGTAATACTTCTTTACTTTATTTATGAAGGGGATGAACACAGAATCTGATCAAACATATATATATACAATACTTTATATTACAAATCATTATATTAGCTCATAAGATATGAGTGGTGGAATGTGAAAGTATTCCAGTACAATTTTTACTTTCACTTTAGTTATTAAGCATACTTTAGACTTTCACCCTACACCACTACATCTTAGAGAAAAGTATTGCTTTTTTACTTTACTACGATCTTTAAGATTTTGATAATTTTAACATGTAACAAGTAAACAGGAAAAGACGCAGTAGCATATTATCAATCTAGTACTATACGAAGTATCCACAGATACAACATTAAAAGGATCTTACATAAAAAAATGTGTGGGAAGAACTGATGCTATAATAATATAACTCTTTGAAAGACCATTCTGCTTAATGAAAAGTATACTTTTTATACTTGGAGTTCATTTTGATGATAATACTTCTGTACCTCTCAATTTGTTGATGTTCAGGACTGTTGCTTTTTATTTTTAGACTATGTTTTTTAAGGTTTTACTCAGGTCAAGGTTGAGTCCTTTTATCAACATTAGATATTAGACATTGTTACAAATGAAACAACCAACACTATAAAACATCATAATGCTGCATTTACTGCCACAATAGAAAGAACCCCTAAAATATTATTTAGGACATTTTCTTCTGTCTCTCTTTTTTTTCAGGTTTTTCTGAGTTTATGTTCAACAAAATTACACACAATACTCCACTTTCTATCAAACAGTTCTATCAAACAGTTCCCACCTCCTCCTGCTGCTGCAGCGTTTAGACTCAGGTCAGTGTCTTCCCTGCATGCCTTGCATACCAGATTTGTTTTTCTTTTCTAGAGGATGAGTTGGGAGACGTAAACAACCTAAAGCCGTTTCCACCCGGGGAGTCCAGGCCAGCCGTGAACACACTCTGGACAGGGAGATTCCCACATCTGGTTTCCATCAAGCTTTAAAGTCAAAACCTGATTTTTAAAACTCCAGTGAAGGGTTTTTCCAGTACATGAAAAGAGACTCAAAGGATTGTTGTTCAAGTTTTATTAAACAGCTCCTGTTGTTTATGTTCAATTCTCACATAATTCCCCTGTATTCCCAATTTGTTGACTGGTTTATGGCTGGGGGTGGATTCGGGGTTGAGAATTAATTATTTTACAACAGCCATAAAGATAAACTGGTAGCAGTAACACCCTGTTGGATGTAAACCAAAGGTAGAAGGTTTTCATCCACAATAATGAATGTCATATGTTGCTCGAAAGAACAGCGGACATTTTAAAAGACTACAGTGTTTTGTGACTAATAACTCTACAATGTAAGGTTTTGTATTCACTCCCAAACAGGACACTGAACTTTAACTCATTCCCTACCTGTTAAGGTAGACATTTAGTAAAAGCACATAATCAGAGTTCATGATATATATAGTAAATAACAGTGTTAGGAAAGCTACTTTAAAACCATAGATTTGCAAGCCACCAACTTTGTCACAAAGGAAGAAGTTGAACTATTCAGCAGAGCTACTCTAAGTAGAAATCCAGTTTGGTTAACTAAAGGTACTTAGAAAAAGTGTGTTTAAATAGTAAAACAATTAGATTAGATTGACCATATACTGTATATATGTGATATATATTGCAGAAAAGTCTTAAACAAAAGAGTCACATGCCAAATAAAAATGGCATTTCATTGTTCTGTTTTATTTTTTCCACCATGTTCATGTCTGAGATATAACCTCAATACCACTAAAGAAATAAGTCATTTATCACATTGTATTACTTAAAGTTGTTGTTTACTTGTGAGTATTGTAACATCTGACTTTCACGATCTTAATAACTAAAACAGTCTTCACATAAGGTCAGCCAGGCACTACACAAAGGTCAAAGGTCAAGTGTCTTGGGATGGCTAATGCATGAAAGAAAACGTGGTCTGTTTGGTCAAAGGGGGGTTATTACAGTGGAAAATAAAATAAAAAAGCATTCCTTTCGTCTTATTACCCAAAATAAAAGGTTGGAAACAACTAAAAGGCAAAACATTTCTAATCGACTATTGAATCACTGTTATCATTGATGAAAATATAAAAGTGGTTGAACTACCAGCAAGCTACTGCAAAATGTAGTTTCCTCCCTAACAACACCTCCCCAACACTGGTAAATAAATAGCAAGTTCACAACCACAATAGCAACTCTGTGAGGCAATACTTAAGCACAGTGATGAAATGAGCTACATCCAAACATGACGTCTTAGTTTTAACATGCTAACCTTTGCTAACTAACACAGAGCACAGCTGAGGCTGATGGGAACGTAATTGGTTTTGCAGATCTATACAGGACTAATTGAAATGTTGGCCTTGTGATTCAAGGGAACGTGATTCTATCCCAAATGTCATGGCAACACACTACTCAACATGTAAACTTCACAGATCACTTCTTATAGGAAATTATTCATAGGGCCCTTTAGTCTATGTTCTGATCATTTAAACTGCTCTCTTTCCAGCCTTGGGGAAGCGGTTTCTACCAGTTTGATGAGGCTGGACTTTCTTTGTTCTTGGGTTTCAACCACAGCTGTGTCTTAGACATGAAGATAAAACAATCTATTATTCAGACAGTAACAGGACAGTGTGACCTGACCGGGGACAGGACTTGCAGCGTCTTGTAATGTAATGTTGATTATGCTTCTAAGAGCAGGGGAAGAGAAGAGTTGGTTTGGGCAGAAAGTACTGTCACAACTGTGAGTAATTCTGTCAACATTGTCAATTCTCCAGCCAAAACCTGACGTCAATTTGCTGTTCTCCCGTGTACTCATTGTGTTTTCAGTTCAATGCTCCAAGAATTTTATCAGAACATCCATCAATCAATCACAGTTCATCAGTGCCTTACACAAATACCATGAAAGCTAAGGAATGGTCATTTATGATTCATCCCTTATTTTAAATGTAAATGATTGAATCATGATCCCATTACAACCTTAATTGAAGTAAAGTTGAGTAAATACAATTAAAAGCTTAGTTTAGGGTGCCATTATTGACAAAAGTAACAAAATCTGTGAACAATTGTAAAATAATTATAAATGAATCAGGGTATGTTAAAACAATAATGAAATCAACAGGGATAAAACAGGACAGTCTTTCAGTTGTCTTATTTCTTATCATATATTTTGCAGCTGATGTGGCAATAACAAAGTTTGGCCTCAACGTCATCGTGGTGATGCTGTTCTCAGTAATTGAGCGTTTTATTTAATCACCATGATAAGATGCACTCTGGTGTTGGACAGTCAGAGGGACTGTTGGACTTTGCTTTTGTTTGCCCAGGTGGCAGATGAGCAGCAAGGGTTGGCGCTGTGATCCCCTCACTGGCCCAAACATCCAATAATGTTTTGTTGCTTTATCTTGTCCAATCAGATTCACAGGAGGACGGCGCTGCATCAGCATGTGTGACTATAAGAGGTGGGGGAGTCCAGCAGGAAGGCACCATCCGGTCAAGTTTTCTCCTACAGTACAGGTGAGTTTGAATCTGTTCATATAATTTGCTTATGCGCTTTAACTACTGAGACAATTCCACAAACTTAAGACTGAAATGTAATGCATTGAAAGTCAAATGTGCCTTGTCTCTTAGAGATTTGAAGAGAGAGCAGATGTTAATAATGACAATAGGATGGGGTGAATTTGAACTAAAGAATGACATGTCTTAAAATTGGGTAGCATTTGCTCCTGAAGTCTTCAATGTCATACGTTTATATAAAGTTATGGCATGATCCCTTTCAATCTATTTCTTTGAATTTAGTTAATTCAGTTTTATTAGTTTGTGAAAAAATGTTTTATGTTGGTTTAGATTTCTCATCTACAACAGCTGTTTTTAAGAAGCAAACCTGTTTCTCTATTTTGATACTCTGACTGGAAATGATGTCTAAAGGAGATATACAAATCATGTTTGACTCCATATCAGGGTAGTATAAAGTATACTATGGTTAACATGAGTAAAATCATCTAAACGTCTTCTGTTCAGTTAACAACCAAATTCTGAAACTTGTTGAAGTCCTTTGTTAATTTGCCAAACATTTTCTGGTCCTGAAGTACTTGATTTTGTTATCTAAAATTACATTTGATATTTCATTTATGTTTAACTTAATTGTGACAATAGTATGGAATACGGTCCGTACATTTGTTGTGACCTGTGACAAGCCAATCAGATTTTAAGCTTAATTAAAAGTTTAAAATAATAAATAAATGACCCAAAGTAGTATTCACCACTGAGGTGTGAGAAGCATAGTGTAAGAGAAGTGGAAAAACTATGCGATAACTTGGTTAAAAAAAATGAATTTTAGGCACTTTAAATTGGGTGAATAAATGTGGGCTACAACGGTATGAGAATATTCTTTCTCCTTAAACATATCTTATTCTAAATTCACAACAGATGTATTAATACTAAATAAATCTTGTTTTGTTGCTCTAAAACATGAAGGTTAACTTTGTGACCTTGGGAACACATTGTTGTGGTAAATTACTCCAAAGTCAAGGTTCACCTATTAGTGTTGACAGGACGTCAATGATAAGCCAGATCAAGTTTACAAGTTGACATGTGGGCGTTTGGACAAACTAGAAAATATGTATTTTATTACCAGAAGACTGACTGTGATTCCTGGAAAATGTGAGAACTTTCATCAGTGAGTCATCTGATTGAGAAACAAATATCTATTCAACTTCAGAAAACAACTTAATGACTCATCTTGATGCTTTTCATTTTGGTTTTATTGCAAAAACAGAAATAATAGAGAGAGGAACACGCAGCACTCTGGCCCCAGGTAATATCAAACATAGATAATAATTGAGTATATTTGTTTTTGTAGGTCTCCTCCACTCAGCAGCCATGAAATTCTCCCTCATCGCAGCCGTTGTTCTGCTTGCTCTGGCACAAGGTATGATCTTTACATTTTACTTTCTTCAAATTTGACAGTGCATGTATTCTGTTGGGCAGAAAAACATTCTTAACATTGACTTTCCTTAAACCCACAGGAAGCTTTGCCCAAGATACTGCCGATCTTGAAAAGCTCGGTCAGTACCTTGAGGACATGAAGAACAAGATGGTTCTGGACCTGACCGAGATCATACGCACCCACGACCTGGCCAACCAGGCTACGTGAGTACAGGCAGACATCCAACTAACTCAGAGTTCAGTCACTCAGTCACATCTACTGGCTGTCATACAGTTTTAGTAAATCACTTTGGAGATTAAGATTATTGCTACATTGTTAAATTAAGTAATAAATTACAATATATGATGACATAATGAATTATTTGAATGTACACTTAGACAGATTAGAAAGTACTAAAACAACGACATGCTGTTAGTAATGCAGTGTAATTCATTGTATACTATAAATACATGCATCTGACAGATATAAACAACTGAAGTATTTACACTATGAACAGTATAAGGAGGTATAAACAAGTGCTGAAGACAAATATATCTCTAATTATAATCCAGTAAAATAATATAATTCTGAAATGTTGTATAAGGAGTACTTAAGTATATATTGATGCATGTCTTTTTTACTTTTATTTCTCCTACTTTTTCCACCACTGAATAAATCATAATTTAACTTTCAATTTTAGGGTGCATATATAAATATCTACTGCCAAGTAATTAGAGCTTTATATATAAAGTAAAAAGCACCACAATTGCCTTATTATACAAGTCAGATAAAATATTGCAAATACTCATAAAGGACACAATAATTGTATATAAGTACAGCACTTGTTTATTTAACCAGTTGTGTAATATGCAGGTCAGATTGTTTTTTGTATTCTAGTATCTATGCTTTTGTCTCATGGTGCTCATGTTGTACCCCACAGGAGCTTCGTGAATGAGAAGAAGACTCAGCTGGAGCCCCTGGTGGCTCATATCCAGGAGCAGCTGCAGACCGTGGCCTCCAACGCCGAGGCCCAGATCAAGCCCCTGGCCGCCAACGTGCAGGCTCAGTTCCAGCCCCAGATCGATAGCTTCCAGCAGCAGATGGAGGCCATCTTCCAGCAGCTGACCAAGCCTGCCGCACCCATCGAAAACTAACTGATCAGTGCTCCTTAAAGATGCAGCTGTGCCACACCACCACTGTGCATCGGATGCAGGCAGAAATACAAGTGTTTCAGTGATCGTTGACATTATCATCTGTCCCAAAGCACAATAAAATCTTGAAACGCAACTGCACTTTGTCCACTTCATTATTGTGTGTGTGTATGATGGGTGCTTGTTTTTAGACCACTTTAGCATCTAGTATAATTGGAGTTGTGAATATGCCAACATTTCCAGCAGTGACTCAGTGAGTAGGGGCTGTGGACTGCGAGCCGTAGGGTTGCCGGTTCAAGTCCCCGATCAGACCTAAATATGGAGTGTGGACTGCTACTTGCAGAGGTCCCAGTTCACCTCCTGGGCCCTGCCGGGGTGCCCTTGAGCAAAGCACCAGGCAGACACCCCCCGACTCCCCATTGCCCTCCGGGTGCTGTACAATAGCTGCCCACTCCTCCTAGTACTAGGATGGGTTAAATGCAGACCACATTTCACTGTGTGCATGTACGAGTGACAAATAAACAGGGTTTCATCCTCCAATTCTATTGAAACTCTTACCAGGATACATCTGGTAACTGTGCATACATTACACGCCTGGCTTATGGTATTTTTCTGTAGTTTCACATCAGAAGAATGACAAACAAACTGAATATTTTTCCAAGATTTATTGAAGCAAGCAAAGGTCATAAGACATTTCACAATAAAAGGCTTCTAAAGCCCACACATCCAAACATTTAAAAGGGATAAAATGGCAGAAAGGAATGATTCAATGTCACAGAATTCTCTTCTAAAACCCTCCATGAACTGGTAGTTTTTGATTTTAACTTTTTCCATTTTTTGTTTATTTTCTCATTTTAACTCAACAAACCAGGCCTGGTGTTTGTTCATCTAGGCCCAGTTGGAGACTTGTTACCATAGGCATTTTTTATTATATCATTTCACTTCTTTTTACTTTGTTTTGTGTATTTTCATTTTTTTCATTGTTTATTTATTTTGTCCATCGGTGAAGCTAGTCTCAAGATGTCCAACACCTGTGAAAACGCAAAAATACAATCAGTGATACGAATAACTCTACAACTCGTCAAGTACACAAGTGACAGAAATGAGAGATGAGATGTCATATCCTTCTCTGGAAAGGTAGTCATACCATGCTTTTAGGCAGTAGCGACTCCAGCTGGGGTTGGCACAGGCTTCTGGGTGGCTTCCTTAGCCTGGTGGGCCTGAAGCACAGCCACCGCCTCATCCACCTGCAAAGATAAGGTTGTAGATTGTTAGTAAAACATCATGGGGCCATCTCTAAAGTGCTCCGTTTGCCACAAGATCTTTCCTGCATCTTAAAAAGTGCAAACTAGGGAAGATGCATACTTAAAATTAATAAACTCTCATCCTTTGGTGGAAATGTTCCTCAAGTTCTTACCTTTGAGCGGAGAGACTCTGGGGACTCCAGCATGTGGAGCAGCTCTGAGTTGTCAATTTCCAGCAACATGCCGGTGATCTTCCCGGCCAAACCTAGGTGCATGTTCTGGATCATTGGGAACAGACGCTCACCTAGAGGTGTGACAGACAATGAGGATTTAATACAGAGGAAACTACTCACCAAGGACCTGTTAGAGACAACACGTAAAATACATACGCATTTAATACAGCGAAGAAGGTAAAGTGGGGGATAGAGTCAGAGATGGAAGAATAAGGACAGAGAGCTCAAGGCAGGCTAACATAGTATGTGTTTGTGTAGAGCTGTTGGTGACACTTACCCAGCATCTGCTTCTGCTCCTGTGGGGGAGCGGCAGCCAGCATGGAGGCTGTCAGAGGCTCCTGTCCCTGAACATGGACAGCAGGCTGATGGGAGGGATTAAAAGTCAGATAAACAAAAACATTTGGGTCCATACTGAACTTTTTCTAATGTGCAGGGATGCATGGGTCAGTCAGTGTGGCCTTTTGAAAAATGTGCATTCGTACCTGCTGCATGGCAACTTGTTGCTGCGCAGGCATGTGCTGCTGGGGATTGCGGACTCCTGGGGCATATTTGTACTGAGGGACTCCGCGCACAGGAACTGCAGCTGCAGCAGCTGGCCGGGGGCCCATGGGCTGAGCTGCAGCAAGAGGGACAGAAAAATAACGCATAAGACAAAAGCAGCAGCCATACAGGTAAGCTTTATTTTGTGTTTAGTTGGATGGAATATTGACTTGGTATAGGTGACCTACCAACACGCTGGGTGGACATCATGCGGGGCATCTGGGAGGACGGCCGCATGGCACCGAAGGTCTGAGGGCGTGGTGCTGAGGGACGCATCGCACCTGGCATGTTCTGGAAATCTATGAGCACAAAAACACAATGGTATCATACACGAGACAAACAACTTATTTTGTTACAGTGAATACACAATGATGAACGGACATGTGAGGAAGTGTGAGATACTTACGTTGTGGCCGGACCCCTTGTGTGGCCCAGCGGGGGCTCGGGCGGATCTGGGCCATCTGCCCAGCAGCTGGGTAGTAAGCAGCACGGTTCTGGGCCTGAGGTATGGCTGCCATGAAATAGCCAGACGGCGGGGCTGGCTGGTAGGGATTGATGACTGGGTTTGGCACTGCGCGCACAGTGGCCATGCGCTGCATGTACTGGTTGGTCAGGTGAGCTTGACGCTCCTCTTTCCGCTGTGCCAGGGCAACATACAATGGCTTGGTGGCTACGATGCGTCCATTCATTTCTGTCACCGCTTTGGTGGCCTCCTCCGGGGACGAGAAGCAGACAAAGCCGAAACCTTTGCTGCGTCCGCCTTCCATCATGACCTGAGTGTCAAACAAAGAAAGAAAAGATGAGTGAAATTGGACACTGGTAAATCTATAAATGATATAGTATAAGCCAATAGCTGAGGTATTACCTTGGCACTGGTTATTGTGCCAAACGGTGTGAACTCCTTTCGCAGACGTTCATCGTCAAGTCCATCATCAAGGTTCTTCACGTACAGATTGACACCCTGAAAAAAGACAAAAAGTAGTTCTAACTTTGGGATTTATTTTTGAGAATATGACTCATTACGAAAGCTTTATCGAATGCCAATGGACTGAAAGAAGTTTTTTTACTGTTTATTTAAAAAAGGTATTGTCTGTAATACATATTTATCCCCAAAATCCATGGTGAAGAAATATGGGGCCCATGAACTACAGAGTCACTGTTGCAGCTGTTTTGGCCAGTGCAACCTACTAATGAGAGAGCACCGAATTTGACAAAGCTGCATTCTTTCAACAAGCTTGACCAAACATTACAGAAGGGATTTAAAGAAGCAGCTTTGACTAAAATGCATAATTTGAAAAGGAAACAGACCTGGTAGCGAGTCATGCGGTCTTGTTTCATTTGCTCGAACTTGCGCTTGAGCTCTGTCTGTCGCTCCATCTTTTTCTGGGCACGGCCAACGTAGATGAGCTTGCCATTATACTCTTTCCCGTTCATCTCATCCACCGCCTGTGAAAAAAAACAAGAAAACTTAGTCAACTGTTAAAACTACCGTATGTATGTATATCGAGGGGGTCGGCACAACTCTTACCTGCTGGGCATCCTCATGCCTGTCAAAGCTGACAAACCCGAAGCCTCGAGATTTTCCGCTCTCATCGGTCATGACTCGGATACTCATGGCTTGCCCTAGACAACAGAGAAAATATCTTTAAGGACTATAAAGTTGCCCCATGTTATACTGCAGAGGATAAAAATACTGTATTCATTTGAACAGGAATCAATATTTTTGAAACATGGACACCCTGACTGACCGTATTTACTGAAGACGTCCCTCAGCTTCTCCTCATCCATGTCTTCACCAAAGTTCTTAACATAGACGTTTGTAAACTCCCTTGCGCGGGCACCCAACTCGGCCTCGCGCTCTTTGCGGGATTTGAAACGGCCCACGAATCTGCAAATGGACATTTAGCAACATATTAAAACACTTGCACTACAGTAATAAGACCAAATATTGCTCATCAAAATAGTAATGCAAATTGCATACCTTAAGTAAACGTTATGCATCATAATTTGTTTTGTTTTTTTATTGCGTCTTAATCTGCCAAACCTATGTATTCACTCACTTTTGCAAAGAATTCCCGACTGAAACTGCTCAAGCATCATTCATTGAACAAAGACTCAAGTTACCCCATTTCACACATTAGTATGCACCACGGTTTTAAATGTGTTAAACCTTAACTTACACTTTTCGGTCATTGAGGAGCATGCCATTCATTTTCTCAATGGCTCGTTCAGCTGCCTCTTGAGTCTCAAAATGCACAAACCCGTAGCCTTTAGAGCCATTCTCGTCACAAACCACCTTAGAGAAAGAAAACACATGCTGTTTTTAAAAGCCACACACACATGCAGTAAATTCAACCTCAAATAGTTATTCGACCACACTTCAAATATTAGATTTTTATATAATACTGTCTTTTCATGTGGCATGCCTTGTATTCAGGAACAAGTAAATAATTTAGTCAACAATTGATTAACAGTAAATGACTGTTGCTGTTATACATCTCAATTACTTCCACAATGTTGCATGAATTTGGTTGGTAGCTTGGTTGCTATGGGAAAATATATAAAGTTGATCTAATATTAATCTACATACAAATGTACTGTTCGGTTGATGGGCAGAAGGCAACAGAAACTGACTGTTGAGGGGTGAAAAGTGGGGGGCAAGTAGTTTACAATGAAAGAAACTCCAGGACATTTACATAGCACACACATGCAAATGACCACTTTAAATGCTGTGGCATAACAATGACTTCTGCGTGAGCACCCCCGTATTTCAGGTTGGAAACAAAAAGAAGGGGAGTCGGTCACTTGTCCTTTACCTTGCATGACAAGATGTTGCCGAAAGCAGAGAAGGTGTCGTATAGAGCCTTGTTGTCGATAGACTTATCAAGATTCTTGATGAAGATGTTTCCCACGCCGCTCTTTCTCAGTGACGGATCGCGCTGCGACCACATGATGCGCACAGGCCGCCCCTTGATCACGTCAAAGTTCATGGTGTCCAGTGCACGCTCGGCTGAGGGGAGAAGCACAATTAGCACGTGTTACATTAATCAGTACATCCAAGGGGGTTTCAAATAAAACATTCTATGTTAATGAACATCATTTCATTGTTTGTTCAAGTGCAAAAACCTTTTCCTTTAGAAATAAATTGTTTTTTTGTTCATTGACAGACAATAACCGTTAGTTGCAGATAAATTAATAATTAACAGGATATATATATATATATATGTTTATTTCATATGCATTACAGAGGGCTAGATCTACATTCACCACCCTAATACTTCCTATATTAAAAAGGGTTGTTATATTTCGGAAAAAACTAAATAAACTATGCACCACCCACATATACTGCAATACCCCTAATTTGCAATAACACTGTTATCTACCCTGGTGCATTTTACACTTTATTTATATAATATTATTTATTATATTTGCCAATGTATTGCTAATTTCATATGGTCACTTTATAAATCAAATGTGCTGCTACTTTTTGACCATTGTGAACTTATCTGCAATTTGTTTTTAAGCCTCCCCTTCTTTTTTTTTAAACTACGAGTCTTTTTTCTTCCCTTCATCTGCACTATACTTCTGCTGTTGTAATACCGTAAATATCCCCAATGCGGGGCAAATTAATTAATTCTGAAGAATTAGGCAAAGCAATGCTCATAACCGGGGAATGCATTGATTTTGGAGGGTGTGCAGGGCTGACATTCGAACAACTAACCGACAACGTTTGAAATAGAGTTGAATTTTAATACCACAACAAAGCTAACGGGTTAGCATTCAGGGAGGATTAAATAAACGGTTTGGGCAGCACTTTAGGCCGAACAGTTTGGGTGTCGTCCTTACAGAACAGAGATAAAGAGGCATTTAGTTTTCAGCAGCACGATGCTACATTACTATGGTGGACAGGGCCGGGTTCTTCTCTGCTACGCCACTGCTGGGTGGTTCACATGAGGAGACCCTGCCTATACCGACAACATGTCGGCCGCAGTCACGTGTAGCAAAAAAAAAAAAGGAGGCTAGCTCTCGCTTATCACCGCATGGCATGTTAAAACAGACAATTTTTCACACATTTTACTCGGCATTTTAATAAAGTACTCACCGTCCGCTGGCTGTTGGAAGTTAACATAGGCGTATCCAAGGGACCGCCGGGTTATCATGTCCCTGCAGACCCTGATGGATAGGATAGCTCCGGCAGGGCTAAATTTCTCGTACAGCATGGCCTCGGTCACATCTTGGTGCAGATCCCCGACATACAGGGATGCCATGGGGTAGCTGGGAGCGCTGGGGTTCATGGTCTAGCGGAGTTCTTTTGGACGAAGACTGATTTTTGTAGATGTTATAACCGGACAAAAGTTTTTGTCGTCTGTTCGAACGTGTGGTTCTCCAACGGTCGCTATAAGTCACGTCAGTTAAGCAGAATGCTGATGGTAGACGTTTACAACCGTTGGCGTGTTACGGCTTTTGAGTAAAAAAAATACGTTTAAAATCGAACTATGTCCGCTTCTTAATGAATTTAAACTGTAACTCAAATCGACACGCGATGTTAAAAGCGAATAAACGCGACTTAAGGCCTCGCTTCGGAGCTGGTACGACGTCGACTGAAACAAAAATGTCTTCCGTTTAAACGTTAGCTAGCTCGATCTTATACGTTACCGTCCAATGCGCAGGGTCTACTCCAGCTTCACCGTTGTTACAAAAAGAAATAAAAATGATTTTTTGTATATTTTATGTTTTGAATTTTTTTTGTTTTTTTTTTATTTTTTATAGAACGTGTGCCGAGCGGGCTCAGGAGCACACACGCACTCACACAGCGCTAACAGCCGGGGTAGAGGGGGAGGAAACACTGGGAAGAGCTTTTATATATACCAGAGGACGCGTCACCGCAATGGACCAATCATGTTCCAGTATATTTGTAAAACAAGTTAACAAGGGGGCGTGAACCACAGCTGTACGCATGATGATGAAATCAAGTAAAAACGAAATTGACTTATTGTGTTGACCACAATAGGCAATTGTTCAGTGGTGCTGCATGGGGACGACGTGAAATCCCCTGCATTTGAGAGGATCGACAGGCGAAACTAAATCCCCGCTAGTATATAGACAGTAGTAGGCTACAGTCAGGATGTAATGGGCCTGTCGTGCCTTATGAGATTTTTTACCGCAACACGGTATTCCGCATTTGATACGTAACGTGTGCATGGGCATTTAGCAAATATGATATCGTGCAAGACTACATCACATGATTTCCAAGCACATGTAACATTGCTTTTGTCTCTGACACCATCATCCACCACGTGTGACAAACTATTTCCTGCAATTTCATGCTTGGACATTTATATTCCTTTTTTACATTATCCTGTACAATGCCACACCATGTGTGTATTATTGATTTTGAGTACACCTATTATGTGCAAATATCAAGCAAGAGTCATGTGTGAAAGGTGTATTTCATATCCATGTAGTTGAAAGGTTTACCTATATGAATAGCTGTGCTGTTTTGATTTTGTCTTATACAAATCCTTCCCATTATAAACATATGCTTTCTACAGCCTTCATACATCTGGGGTGTGACTCTTATGGCGTTATCAGCTGCTATCAGAGTGAAAATGAAGACAGAGCTACATTACTCACTTAACTAGATCTGTTTCTAAAGGCCATTGATCTGAGCTGATTAGCTCACAAATGTCACTGAAATGGGCCTACTGATTGAAAACTAAACCCTTGATATTTTATAGTATGGTAGAATAAATACATTTACTCAGGTATGATACTAATCTGAAGCACTTATTTGAATATATGTTTATAATACTATGTTTCAGAGGCTTGCTGCAGTGAAAAACATGTATCTAGATGTGATGACTATACGTTTTTGTGAACCTGAACATTGAATTGGTGCCTTTTGTGCAAAACATGCTTTTTTGAGCACATGAAAAGTTTACTTTTTAGGGATGCATGATGATCCTGGAGACAATTATGCTTTGCTGTAGATTCAACATACCAACATGTAAAAAAGAGCACACATTTAAACATTTACAGCAGTCTAATGCAACATAATAACACATTATAGTTTAACACTGACAGGGAACATTTCACTGCAGATTAAAAAAGTGAGTCAAGCTTAATTTGAACAAAATTACATCCATACATGCACCACAACATGGCCCACAAAGCCATATCCATCTGCAGAGGGCAGTGTTGTCAGTGAAAAGCTAGTATCC